ATCGACTGGTAAGGCATCAATCCCGCATTCACCCGACGTCCAAATTGCATCTGCAAGGGTGCTTTTGTGCGCTTCTCGTGGCATTCCCGAATTATCAAACAGAGAAGAGGGATGACTTGACAGTTCAAATTTAAAAAGTTCACTCATTTCGGGAAATGCGTCTCGGGCTACAGTTGTTATCCTCTGAAATAAAAGTTGGGGATCTACTTGGGAAGTTTCATTATCGATTGTTACGGCTTGTTTAGTGTGCATGGTTATGACTTTGTTCTTTTTCTTGAAAGAGAAGTTGGTTGCATCATTTCCAGACAATGAAGAAATTATCTTAGATCCAATCTCATTGCATCTGTCAACATTCACATCTTTTTCTGCTGTCATCCCTGTTTCGATACTTCGAAGTTGATCAACATTTCTATCAAAAGGGTTCCGCTCCGCTATCCGATTCACAAGCACTAACAGGTCTTTATGATCTCTTTCTTGTCTGCTTTTTGAAGTTTCTTTATGCTGCTCACTTGTGCTGTAGTTTACTTCTGTCAATATCTGTAGACTCTGAGTAATCTCTGCACATATTGGGCTGGACAACAACCACAACGCTCTTTGATACTCGGACATTCCTCTGCCTCTGGTTAGTCCACCTGTTGTTTTCAGACTACGCATCAAGATCTGTTCAATTGATAAATCGGTAGATAATCCTGACCAGTACTTATTGGATCTGCGAACAACGTGATAGCCTGCTGCAAAAAGACTATGGACATCAGGATGTGTCTCTTCTAGTTCGCACATTTCACTCAAGTAAATATATGCAGATTTAACATATAGGTTATGTCCAGCAGCAGCTAAATATAGCAGCATTTTTTGAACTGTTTGTAGGTGTAGAAACCAATCCCCTGTCCTTTCAGCTTTTATAAATGTGTGCAGGAGGGAAACCATGTTAAGGTATTCAAACCAAAGGGTAGCTGTGCGATTCGTGGAGAGATCTCTCATAAATCCTGACATTTTGTCTTTTATGCCCTTAAAAACATCATTTTTACAAGCTTCATCCGCTGATAAGTTTTCATTGCACATATCATCATACAGTGCACAAATAACTTGTAAGTCAGGATGCCACATGTGGAAGCTATCATCTCTGCCACTCAAGTCCTCATCTGCATTACCGCTGTCCTTCTGTGCAAGATTGCAATCCGACGAGTTTTCTGCAGAATGATTCTCCATATCTAAATCTGTGTCATCAGGTTGAAGTTCCCTTGATTCATCGTTTGGATTTTTTTCCCCTCCATTTTCTTCATTTGGAATTTGTATTCCATAAATCTCAGACAGTATTAGGGCATAAAGAGTAGATTCAACCAAAAAATGACCTCTGACGGCTCTTGAAACAGCCTTTCCACTGAGCATATGTACAACGGCATTTGGAGCATAGACACATTCAAGAAGCTCTTGTAAACCTGATCCCCCCATGATATGACCAATGGCACCGAGGAAGCTCATCTGTAAATGAAAACCTCCAAGGCGTATTACTATTCTATTTAAGTCACTTTCTCTTTCATTTCTAGTAATAAGAAGCGCTTTCCAGTACAAGGGTTGATCGAAGGTTATTACGGGCGTTTTGTTGTACCTCGAAGCTTCCTTACCAACAAATTTGAGTGTTGTGTAAATGCAAGACATGTTATTTGGATCAAGGTCTATCATTGGGAAAAAAAACTGTCGAAGACTGTCCAGGGAAGGTTCCACTACTAAACATCTGTAAAAATCCAGACCATGCAGGTTTTGGATATCTCAACGGCCAAATTATGGATGACATGAAGTCTAATTCCCAAAATTTATTTTTTGCTTCCAAGATTCTGAGTTTGGCAAATGGTATCTTTTCAGTCTTTGTTTTCTGCTGGTACAGAGATACATCAATTGTTTCAATGTTCAGTACTTCCTCTTTTGAAACATCTCTTCTTGGAACTTGAAAATCTTTTTTCACAACTGGTGTTATTGCTGCCATGATTCCCATTCCATGGAAAGTATTCAGACCATCAATCGTACAGGAATTGTGATCAACATTGTCTGCGACAAACTGCAAACAAGACTCCTCTCCAACATAAACCTGAAGTGAATTGCCCTGTACCACAGCAGCGGATGATTGGAACTTTTTAATTTCAGAGTAGGATGTGCAGAAGCCAAGATTATGCAAGGTGTCGATAAGGAAACGAGAGGCAAAGTGTTGATGCAGAACAACACCTAGGCTGATTTGTAATGGTGAAATAATGACCCTTGGCCTTGCCGCCTGAATCATCGCTTGACCTATAGCTGCTATCTTCAGACTAGGATTTTTTTCTATGAAAATGCTATCTAAAATTTTTTTCAGTGACAGCGGTAAGAAACTTGTTTGAAAACTCATCGATCCTACTTCTGTTGGGGATGGATAAGATTGCTTTGAAATGGACATGCACTTAATGTCACTGCGTATGATCTTGGATGCAGCGGTTATTAGAGCAATCTTGTCTGACTCAGGATCTTTTTTCTGTTGCATGTAGAAGTCATGAAGAATTGATTTAGCTGTGTAACAAAATGTGACAACATCCACTTTGCCATTCACATCAGTGAAGACAATGTCTTTGTTATATTTTTGTTGAAGCTTTTGCTTCATGTACACAACACTGTAAGGGATTTCACAAAATTCTTCCATTTTTTTAACAAGATCTACTATGGTAATTTGCTCATCGTCATTTGCTTCTAAATAATCAGTTATTTTCATGAATGCTTTCTGTTGTATGAGCTCCACTGGTCTACCTGAGGTACATTCCTTTTTTTGTTTCGCTGGTGTTGGAGAAAATGTGCTTGGAATGTTTTTTCTGGTACGGAAATTGACACTACAGGTTTGGTGATATAAAGCATCAGCTGCGTGTAAGTCATTTATAACTCCCAGCCTTCCTTTAACTTCACGGCTCCAACTGTCATTCCTTTCTTCGCAAATTTTCCCAATGGTCTTCTGAAATTCAAATGTTCTAACACTGAATGCATCGTTTCCACGTTTCCTGTCATTTATTTTAGCTGGAAATCCACAGAACAAACAGTGGCCCCGGAAGTCAAAAGATGAATGAGATCTGAGTTTTGGAGGTTCTGAGGTATCGTTGCAATTTGCTATTCTCCGCTTTGCTACAAGAATTCTTCTCTTATCAGTAAGGAATTTTCTGCAGTCTGTATGAACGACATCACCAGGAATACAAAGTATGTCCTGTCCTCTTTCTTCACTCGCTGCATTAATAGTTTTGCTTCCTTTCGAAGTCAAGCATACAGTGCTGCTGGTAGTAAGGGGACCGTGACATATTTTGCAGACCTCCATAATTGCTGAAAGGTTTGAAAAGAAAATACATTTGTAGACATGTTACATTTGTCACACTTGATCAATCAAAATTAGTACATGTATTAGTAAAATCGGCAATTAAATTCTGATTTTAACTTTAAATCTCAAGCAATACACTGAGTATATAATTATAGAAGGTACATTTATATCAACAATTTGATTTTTAAAACAAAATTAATTTTAAAATGAATGAAATTGGGATACGTCATACATTTAAAGTTGAAATACAATTACATACACTGTATTTGATGAATATAATCATCTTATTTATTCAAAAAGAAATTCATTATTCCATTGCGAAAAAAAAATAAAAATAAATGAAGCCTTATGCTGTATTTTGTTAATTTTTGACTCAAATTGCGTTCCATAATTTTTTTTTCCCCAATATGTATGACCCCCAACGAATAGGTTTAATTTCGCTCAAATTATAAAAGATGGGCTTTATTATCTAATGCAGCACAATATAACTCTTAAATTAAATGAAAACTTTTGATTTTTTCTAAATAAATATGGGCATTTATAACATATGCCATCGTATTCGAGATCGTACTACTGACCTATTCACGTCTGCTGTGGATTGATTATTTTTTAAATGTAAGAGGATCATAACATGTTAAAATGTTTTACTGCATATTCAATTATAACTTACCTCCTAGAAATACTGCAAGGTACAAATAACTCTCATAAATTCTCATCTCTCATGATGTTGTTGACGTAAGATCCACCAATAATACGTCATTAACTTGAGGTACGGTAGCGCATAAAAGACATTGAACGTAAGCAAAATATAGCGAGTTTTATTCGATAAAAAAATATTTTAAATTACAATATTTTGAAGTGGATTTTTCTCATTATGATTACTAACAGAACACCTTTGAACTGCTGTAAAAAAAAAATTTTGTTGCAATTTGTTTAAGGTCAATACTTCTTCTTTACTGGACTATCGACTCTTTTTGTAATTGTAATCTAGTAGTTGTCTCTCTTTTCACGCGACAATAGGGATTTGGATTTTCAAGTATATAGGCTTAGATTTGGTCTTTAAAAATATAGTTATTGTTTTTAGATATAACATATGCATCATGGAGCATTCATCTTTCTTTCATCTTTACATAACATATATGTTATCTTTGTTAAAATTTAATTTAAAACATAGGAAACAAAGTATTCAGTATTTTTTGTTTAGATTAAAGAATTGATTTAAAAGAAAAAATACAAACATAACAAAACAAAAATTTCAATATCATGAATAAAAGAATTATGCAGAAAACCTGTATCTTTTATTAACGTTAAGCAACGTAAGACCTAGGACACATAATACAAACAAATTTTTGTCCAAAAAATTGAAAATTTTATATTAAGTCATATTTCATTGAGTACAATAAACAAGTTTCATCGTGTAGTTTTTATTCTTTTTTCATTAAAAATTTCACAAAAATTGGATTTTAAGTAAAAAAAAAAACTTATACAGATAAATAAGGATGGATGGAAAAAGGTAGCATAATAGAACGTTTACAATTTCATAATATTTTAGAATATGCAACAAAAAATATTTGCCAATGCAGACATCCATTTTTTTGGTTATTTCATCTGTTCTTAATATCTATAAATAAATATATAAAGTAAAAGTATATCTGAACTCTTTCAAAGATATATTTAAAAAAAACATTGTATATAGAGTCCATAATTTTAAGTTATCCATGCGTATTGTAATATTGACTTCAATGTGAATTCCAGTCACGGGGTCTGCAAATAGAAACACATGAACTATAAAAGTATGTAATAAGATATGATGGTAAGTATTAGGTAAAAAAAAAACGATTTTCTTTGGTTTTGTGCTTGTATTTTTTTTTTTTTTTTTTTGGTAATAAAAGACATTTATGTTCGACCAGTGTGTACATGTATTTAACCAGGTTTAACATTTACATGTATAAATAAAAAGCCAGAGACATTGTCTATGTTTCTGATTATTGACGAATTTTGTTTTTATAAATGAAAACATATACATGTACGTTGATCTGTTAAAAGGGTTAATTTCTTCTTAATTTTTTTTCTTTTTTTTTTCTTTTTATATTAAATGTGCATGCTTTGTATACTTTAAGCATAGACATGTTTCGTATACTTTAAGCATAGACATGCTTCGTATACTTTAAGCATAGACAATTAAGCCATTTAAAATAGAAAATATCTTACACTGATTTCCACAGGAATGGATCTCTGCCATAAGACATTGCATCTCTACAAAAAGAATAAAATAAATAAAATTTTAAGGTAGTCCGATCCTTGGGCACTGAGAAGTAGGAGTTAAGTTACTGATTATGCTGATTTATGTCTGTGAATTATAAAAATAATGTGTATTTATCTATGGGATTTCTTTTAAGTTCACCAGTAAAGTTTATCATATTAAAAAGGGAAAATTATCCAGTCTCAAATAAATATTAATTTCAGGAAATGTGATTCAAAGTACCCACTATGCATTTTCCAATTGAAAATTGAACGACAAATATGTTTTTTAAAAAATTATAGGTATCCAGAAGAAATTACGTTTTTCATATATATTTGCTACTTTAGATCTTCCATTTCGTTTAATTCATTTCAACTTATTATAAAACATTTGTATTATCAGTTTAAGACATCACAGATCGCCTCTTATTTCATACAATGTATCCTGTCAAAAACATCGATATATATCTTAGGCCGGATTAATGTAAATTTGATTTCCATAAAAAAAAAATTATTTATTACATTTCTTCATTGTATACACATGTCCATTTTTACAAGTCCCTTTCTAAGACTTCAAAAAATCTTGACTAAAATTGAGATGTACGAGGGTTGTTCGCAAAGTTCGTGGACATAGGGAGAGGGCTAAAATAGGCTTTGCCTGCTGCCCAATCCCATTCACTTATGTGAATAAAATTTTGTATAAATAAAAAAAAAAGTTCGTGGACAACTGTCATATCTTTTTTATTTGACGTCACATGTTATCCAAATTTGGTAGAAATATTTTACCAATAACTCCAAGTGATTTGTATTCATTTTTTTTTTCAAAATATTACGATTTATTCAGAACTTATCTAGATTTTAAAAATGCGAAAATTGGATCGCGGAGCAGGTCAAAATTTAGTAAGTTACAAACAAAACACTAAATAATGTCTGAAGTCATAATCTCTGTAAAATGGAGCAAAAACGAAAAAAAACCTAGAAATTCAAATAAGAATTGCTTCATTGATTCGTATATAAAATTATGGTTTTATATTTTGTTTTGTTGAAAAGCGATCGACATGAGAAGATAGGTAGTCCTTATTGAAAACGACAAAAACGATGACGTTTTAGAATGTCACGGAGCAGCAGATAACGATGCAATTTTGTGTTTTACTTGGGAAAAATCCTGAATAAACACTAAAAATGTTGGGGGAATCAAGAAATATGTAACAAATGAGTTGTGCATGTGTGTACAAATAGTACAGGCAGTATTTGAGTGACAGAAACTCAGTATCGGATGAGGATAATCTGTGAAAAAACGGTTTAACTATAAAAATCTGACCAAAACTTTGAAAAGTTGGAACCTCAAGAAAAGACACGGGCGCTTCGGAGTTACTTATCCTGTGAAAGCAGAGTTAAGTAATTAAAGAAATTAAAACCTGAACAAAGGAAATTATACAACGAGAGCAATTCTTAAAAAATAAATTTCAAATATTAGAAAAAGGATTTAATGAATGGACATTGGATTATAATCTGTGAAATGTATAGGGATAGTGTCTTTTTTTTTTTTTTTTAGAAATTCTTGATGCTATGTTTTGACGTTACATTGCCGTTAAGTGTGCTCCGCGGGTACAAAACATGTTGATTTTAAAGTGAAGTAAATTGTTTTCTGTTAAATCGAATAGAATGAAACTCCACACATCAACAAAGCAAATATTTTAACATATTATATTGTACTTATTTTAAATTTCTAGTGAGTAATATAAATTAGATTGACACCGTCCACGAACTTTTCGAACAACCCTCGTATTTATGAAAATTGTTGTAAGAAAAGATTTTAATTTTAAAATTATTTTTGATACTTTTTGAATTGAATAGCAATTTAAGAGTTATCCTTCCTAGCTGAGGATTGGGCTTTCTGAATTCACAAAAGCTGGAAAAATATTCCTATCTCAATTGATGCAACCCATCCCCCACCGCCCTTCCTTAGTTCTTAAATCAATATAATTGATTTTCAAATTATCATCCATTTGATATTCAGAAAATGTTAATCTTATATTAATTGAAGTCCACAGTACAAAAACTAATAAAAGATAGATATTAATAAATATAAGAATATGAAAAATTAAATAAAAATCTACATGAACCTCTACAAACGATAAAGAGTATTTACAGACCTGCTTTTCCCAAACAGATGTTTAAACTTTTTGGTATCAAACTTACAACAGTTACTGTTCTTTTGCGGCAAAGTTGAGGAAGCCTTAAATTCATTCGGCAAACCTCTCCTGATTCTGTCGACTTCATCGATGAGGTACGAATCGACCGAGGTGTGCCGAGTGCCATAAAAATTGTTTACGCTACTCTCGGCAAACCTTGGCCAATTTCATGGATTTGTTCATCATCTATCGTTTGATGACGGCGTCCGAATCAATCGAGGTTTGCCGAAATGTATGTACACTCGGTACACCTCGGCCGTTTCATACCTCATAAAAGGCGACGGAATCCGCCGAGGTTTGCCGAATGATTTGTGAAATATTTCAAATTCAAAAGTATTGATATCGGAAGATTAAGTTTTTAAAGGGGGTTTAAAAATCACTGTCAAATCAAGAGAATGCAGGTCTGTGTTTAACATAGGGTAGGAATACATCTATCAAAGTAGGATAGGATAAGAAGGGTCATGCAAACATAATAACGTTTAAGTAAAAAAAAATCAAATATAATCCTTAATCTACTTCCACGTCCTACATCTACTTTCACTTTCATCAGTGCGGTATGACTTACGTACTTACGTGTTGATTTCAGTTAAATCTGTGTGGTGGTGGTCCTCCTCCCTTAATCAAAAATAAAAGTGGAAAATTTTAATAAAAATATTATTTTTTTAAAATGCAGAATATACTTTTAACATTATCAATGAAATTATTAATGTTTTTAAATGAGTTTTGGGTTTCAGATATCTAAGTTTCAAAAATGTGTGCATTTTCTTTTCTTGTTCAAAGAGAGCAACTCAGATACTTCTAAGGCATGGTAGAGTTGGAGCGTTTGCTCTAGAATCGCATTGTTAAGAGTGATTATTCCGACACGGATTCGAATCCAACTGTGGGATGTGGAGACCGGTCCTTGAGATGAGATCGAGAAAATCAAAGTCCCGTGTCGCAAACAACCACCTTTACAAATAAGTAAAAATTACTAGATTGGGCGTTAAACAAGTCCTTTCCGGATGTGAAACTTCTGCGACACTGGACCTGGGCTATACGGTCTCAATTGAAAGACTGGTCAACACATCCAGCAGTGGAATTTCGTCTACTTTTAAGTACAATATGTATCAACTACTAGTGACTTCGCGACTCTTGAGCAAACGCTACATCCACTGCGCCACGTTTGCAACAGTTGGCCTGAACGGCTTCTATGAGTCGGTTATTGCTGTATGAGCCATGAGCAATGCAAATTAGCACACTCTAGCTGGTTGATGAAAATGGTTGCAAATCAGTAGGTAGTCAAGAAAGTAAGCAAGAAAGTGCCCCGAATACTGCCTCTGAGCATACATGCAGTACATGCAGGATGATAAAATCTGAGGTACATGCAAAACTCAGAAAAGATTTTTGAGGCTAAGCGAATCAAAATTCGCTTCTTATTTCAAATGTGCATTATTAGAAACTTTGCAATAAAAATTGAATAGGATATTTCAAAGTCGTGTTAATTACCCAAGCGAAATAGATCCCCTGTGTAATGATCCATTAGTTTTTCCTGAAATAGCAAAAATGGGGGCCATGGTGTTCATTTGGTTATTTTTGCTTCCTTTTGAAATTCCGATTTCGGATGATGGAGAGGATGACATCATCTCGCTGCTTCTGCGGCAAGCCTCGCTATGACTTCGTTGTCGTCTGCCGTTTAGTTTTTTTGAATCTCTTCGAAGACCTGCATTGACGGATTGGAACACGTTGGCCGTGTCAGAATTTGCAGAGGAATTCCGAGTGTCGTGGTTGATATTCTTCATGTGAACGGTCTCGCTATGACGTCTTCGCTTTGGTCCATTGCTTGCAAGCTTGGTATTAGGTTTTGGACTGAAACGCGTGCTTGATTCTACGTTAGAATTTGTTTTATACTTTGTCACAGAGTTGTCGTTCCTGGTTTCATTCACAGAGATGTCGCTGCTTGCAACTGCTGCGTAGTCATAGTCAATCAGAGATCTGTGTGATTGGGTGTTGTTATTCATGAAAACGAGTCCTCTACTTCTGTGTATAAATAAAACATTTCATTAAGTAAAAACACCTTTTTCATTTTTCCTGGGCTTGTATATTTCTATATGTTCCTATTTGAGAGCATTGCATTAGCAATACACTGTACATCTCCCTTGTCGGAAAGTGTTGAATGTTACCTATTAGAAACAAAATACAAAACTGCATAGCTCATGAAGGTTAAAGCTTGCATACGCCATATTCGCAATACACTGTACACCTCCCTTCATTGTCACAGGTATCGTCGTGGAATGGCGGCCCGTGTTCGTGCTGGTTATCTTGCATTGCCTTTGTTAACATTTTTTTGCAGTTATGTATATCTGTGTTGTTTGTATACTGCCTTGAACTGTACAACAATAATTGTAAATTTATTTGGTATCTTACTATTCTGCATTAGTATTACGTACTTCAGCGGAACAAATAGCATACGTCCAACACCTGATCTATAGCTCATGAAGGTTAAGTAATTTAAGGAAAATAAGTTCAATAAGTTCGACATAAAAATATGGAAAAACTCTGAAATATTGAGAAAGGCTGTTTACCATAAAAAATCGTTTAGGCAGAACAAAATGCAAAAAATTACATAATCTGAAGCTGCAAGCATTTAGAAAAGGTGCGGAAAACATACATTATGATATTTCACGTGTTTAATCTTAATTACGACATGACGTTTTTGATTGTAGCAGATGTGTATTGTTTAATTAATTGTTTGTTTATACATGTAATCTTTGGCTTACCTTTTCTCCTCTTCATCTGTTTGTGAAAATTTCTCTCGGAGTTTCTGGCTAATCAAAAGTAAAAATAGATTATATATAGTTTATTTGTCATTGAAATTGTAAACCATTATTACCAAAATGTGCGACAATACAAAAATTTCAAATCATGTTTAAAAGAAAATTCTGAAATTTTGTCAAGTTTTCAATTTTCAATAATATCGATTTGATATTTTGTTTTCACTGTAAAAACAAATTTAAGTAGAAAACAAAACAAAACCTACTGTTTTCGAAGCTCATTCATCTTCTTTCGGATGAGACAGCTGATGAAGATCATGATGATCGTAACAACCATCGTCACGGCAACCAATACACCAATCAGAATCTTAGCGCTGTCAGGGAGGTCAGAGGTCACCGGGTCATCTGCAGTTGGGGTACCATACAGGGAAGGTTCTAAAAAAAATAGGATTATGTCATACTTTTTCGGTGTGAATATTTGAAAAGGGGTTGGTCAAGGTAACAGATTTACTGTGCATCATCATGATTTTGGGTAGGGAATCCTTTAATGTCATCTTTACGAACAAAATCTCCAATTATAACATAACGCTTCCCTGATCTTTCTTTACTCACAAGTAAATTATGCACAAAATTTGATGACCACAAAAATGGAAAAATCTTAATTTTCTGAGAAGATAAACTCCAAAAATTAAAATGCTGTCAAGTTGTAAATTTTAAATTGACAAGGTTATAGGAAATGCACAATTTACACGGTTCGTAAATGTTGTAATTACTTCCACCCGCTAAATTCGAAATTTCCAACATGACAACTTGATGCTTTTACAGTTTGATATGGAGAGCCTAAACGAGCTAAGATCTTAAATTATTTCCAAATATTGATTATCCTTTTTCATTTTCAATTGTTATTAGAGCATCCTCTCGATATTTGTATTGTAGTATTGGGCGGTTCAAAAATGAGTTATGAGTAATTTCGTAATGAGTAATTAAGAAGCATAAGTCAGAAAGTCCCAAGTCTTTGCTAAGAGAGCTCGAAAGGAAGAAAAATCTGGTTTGCATTGAGGCCTTAATTCAAAAGCCGTCAGAAAGAATAAGTACGTTTCAAAGGACCTAAAAGATTCCTACATATCATTTAATCTAGGAATAACCTAGATTTCTTTACTGTCGCTGTTATAAAGGCTGAAACTTGACATCTAGGGGCAAAATATGAATTAGAATATAAAAAGTCAGAGGCACATTAGAATAATTAAATTTAAATGCATTTAAACTGCTCTTCAATTGATGTCTTTTCAAAGAAGTCATCTGTGCCAGACAACTAAGAAACTTTCTTTACATCTTATGCTCTACTTGTGACAGGTTCAACTTTAGAAAATTGTTTTTGTTGCCCTCTCCCAACTCAGTTTGAATATTTTGTGTTGGTGGGTAGGTGAGAAAATTAAGTTTTCTCAGAAATTTTCAATTTCAATACTAATATTTTTACTTATTTTTTCCAGAGTACATATAGAAAATAATTGTTCTCTTGTGGTTGAAAACATTCTGAGTTGGGACATTTTTAGTCAGTCGGTCGGGAGAGAGCAATCAAACAATTTTTGTGAAAGATGGTCCGAACCTTCTCCGAATTATATACGTTCTACTTACTAGCACAATAGGGGCGAGAATCAAAGTTCCAATTTCCATCTTCTTGACACTTTATGACGCTCTGACCTTGAACACGAAGGTCATCCACACATGATAACGTCACTTCCGTTCCTGGGACTCTGTTGTATGTAGATAATCGAAGCTCATACTGATTCAGCGAAGTAATCACAATGGGATCTGAGGCAAAGGGATTCAAACGTGGGCAAACAACTGCAATACAAATCAAATACGTACCAACTAAAAACTAAAATCCACGTGACAAATTAGTGATATGAATCAAATGAGTATACAGATGTACATGTAACAGTTGTCGTCCATCTAACAATGTTGATATTATTTAACTCAAGACCATTTTAATATTAAAATAAACATAAATTTAGTTAAAAAATTGGTTTGATATGATTTATAAACCAATTACGAAAGTTAACATTTAAAATTGCACATTAATTTCATGTTAATTAATACATTAACGAATAGTTCTCCAGCACGCTCTTGTAGTTTTATAACCATCTCTTTTCTTCCCTTTCAATCATTTTTAAATACTTCACATACAAATGTAAATTATATCACGGTCTATTCAAAGGGTAAGATATTGCATGTGAAGACATTTATAAAATATACAAGACCAATTTGAAAACTAGGTCAAGGTGATGCCAGGTATAAGATTTCTCTTCATGAAATTTATGAATATGATAGATACAGAAGATAACACAGGTATTTAATAGACGTATTGTGTTACAAATGCACTATTATTACGGTGCACGTTTCAATTACCAAAGTAAAATTAAAGAAACATAATATATCTATCTGTCTTTCTCAATTTATCTTTTAAGAAATATAAATAGAAGAATTACCGTAGAGAGATATACATGAAAATAGATGTTATATTGAGAACAATTTATATTCTATTGTGCAATTCTAGAAAACATTCCCTGCAGTTTATATTTTCAATCAGTTTCTAGGTATAAAAGTAAATTGCATAAAGTATTTTGTTTTCTTTTTGGTTGCAGAATAATTTGATATAAATAAGGGGATCAAATTTAATTAAGTGATCAAAAAGATTTCTTTTATATGTAGAAATCTTTAAACACCGAGAAATACACTTACATGTAACAAGTTTTTGGCATAATATATATTTTTATACTTATCATAAACTGACAGCCAATCTACTTCTCTGGTGTAAATAATTCGATAAATTGTGTGACAGATTTATGCATTCGTAAATAACGACCATTAACCCGTTTAAGTCAATTTACTTGAGGAATGTAACAAACAAATGTTTCATGATTTATATTGGTTAAAAAGACCAAAATGAAGTACATTCCTAATCCATGCAAATTTTACATTAATACCTCAATTACGATTACTTTTTGTTAGGGTGTGGTAATTTTTAACCGATTCATCGGTCGGAAAGATAGTAATCGATTAGGAAAGCTCTAATCGGTTAATCGAAAAAAAAAATTATAATTGTAAGCTTTCCTAGAATTTAATTTGTAATTTTAAAAAAGTGTGTTTTGATTACTTGTACATGTAAGGTGTTCACTTACCTGTATTTGGATATCGTTAAGTAAGACTCTCTGTTTTGAGTAGCTGCAAAACTTTAGCTCTCCGAAAAAAAAAAGATATTGATAGACCGGAGAGCTACAGTGCCACCCATTGAAAAAAAAAACTGTACATTTACTGCGCACAAAAAATTGCGCTAGTCCTCGATTTATTTTTCAATGTTTTTAAACTGTCAACTCAAAATATTACTAACCGTGAGTCCGTAACATATTCTTTTACTGTTTCCACAATAAACGATTCCTTATAATTCCTTATAATTGTTGTTAATAGCCCTCCTGGCCCTGAAATTGAAATTATCGAAAAATTTCGTCTATTTATACTGCCATTTTAGTTTAAAATATAATTCGGTCCAACGCACCTCGTGCAGATGTCAACTACGAGAGTACTTCATTGAGGAGTAAGGATTTATTTTTAAATCTATCTATTTAGCGATTGAGGTAAGTATTTGGAAGAATTGATCCAGAACTAAGCGAAACTTTTTGTGCGCAATAAATATACAGTTTTTACAATGGGTGGCACAGTAGATCTTCTGTCTGTCAAATGTCAATACATGTATTTTTTTTCGTTGAGCTATTGTTCTGCAGCTACGTTTTAAGGTGTTATGGTCAATTGACAAAATAGTTTGCTATTTTTAGTCAGAGGAAAATTATATTAAGAAGGGGTCCATGATTAGAACAAACTTAAATAAAGAAGACCTGAGAATTTTTCCAATTCAATTTGAGTTTTCAGAGCTTTCCTGTATAAGAGAAGAAAAATCTTTTTTCCAATAGAACTATCTCCTATTTTTACCCCACCCTACCTCGGAAGCCATGAATTGAAAACGAAACTTGAATCTAAAATATGAAATATTTTTATATAAGTTACATGTTTTCTTGCTTGTACGTATCCTTTATTTTTTTCAAATGCCTATTTTCAGTTTTAGTTTTTCTTAAATATCTGAATTTGAAAGAAGTCGTGGCCCTTCACTTTTTTTCTCAAATTATCACCATTTGAAAGAAGCCACGGCCTTTCATTTGAAAAAAAAATTCTTTCACCAAATGTTACATCGTGGCACCTGGTTGCGATTGGCTCAATGGTTTTGTGAAAATTTTACAGACGACGGACAGACGTCGACGGACAAAATGTAATAAGAAAAGCTCATTTGAGCTTTCCTCTCAAGATAACTGATAAGAGATAAATTTTAATGGTTATATCTCCTGAAAAAAAATAATTATAAACTACTGCTTAGGATTAAGAGAAATTGAGTATTTTCAAAGTATTAAAAACAAAAACGTTTTCTTAAAAATAATAACTATGTTTCAACAAAAAGTTGATGACTTTAATAAATCATCGTCAACGTTTTTCTTACTTAATTCTACGAGGGCTTTTCAATAAATAATGTCATGAGCTCGATGACATACAACATAGAAATCCTGGCATTAAGCTTGACTTCCTCTCATTATTGAATCTTTAATTAATTGATAACAGTTTATGTGACCACTTTTATCACATAGTTTCATTGTGGGGAACTGGAAAACAATGGCTATTCGAGACACCGCATTAAAAATGAATGGTATAGAATCAGTAAACTAGATTGAAACTAAACGCTTCATGATAGCTGCTGTAAAACTTGAAAAGAATCCCAAAGAAATATTAACTGAAATATGTAAAGAAGATTGGTGGATAAGGCGGGCAGAATGCCTATGGCGTCAGATATTAAGAAATCACATTTGATATGTAAATTGAGTATTTGAATTTACCTCTCATTATTGAAATTTATGAAATTATGAGAAAAATAAAACATTTTCTGAGAGAAAATAAATCTCTTTAAAAAATTTCTTATATGTAAAAAAATATTAGATGGTACACGTAGGATTCGAACCCCCAGCATAAAATACAGAAGTATCATAATTCTTTGAGACTTGCGCGCTAACCACTATGCTACATGGCTAATGATGATAAGTGGCATTTAAATCATGTTTGTGATATGACCCTTGACTTAATGGACTTGACGTATTTCTCGGAAAGATGCGAATGTTTTTTCATAAAAGTGTACTTTTAAGGTATAGTGGGTCTTCGCTCCTTTTTTTTTTTTTTTTTTTTTGTAAACCAAAAAATAATGATTTCATCGCAGACTTTTGGGATTATCTTTCAAAAAATGGAGCGAAGACCCATTCATACTGAAAAAGTTTGTTAAAGTATGAAAAAATGATCGTTTTTTATTCTTTTAAGTCTGTGTATGCTTTTTCGTAGGCGAATATTTTCAGCTTTTGTGAGATTTTTGTAAATTATAGAGATTTTACATGAAGTATACTTTAATATTAGATGAAATATTAAATAAAATTTGGATATAATTGAGATTAAAATTTTCACTTCTTATCTGTCGCGCTATAGGCATTCTGCTCGCCTTATCCCCCGTCTTCTTTACAACAACTATCTGTTTTATACCAAATGAGCAGGTGGATTTCAATGAACAAATATGATATAACAGGCATCAAAAATGGGTACCGTTCTTGGCGACAAAGACTTACAACAACCAATGTACTGTTTGCCAAAATTCAACAAATTATCACTGATTATGTTTGATTGACTTAAGGACACATATCAAATTTGATAGGCATTATTTTGGAGGTAGTTCACAGTGTTTTAAACATTTGACAGTAAAAAATTTAATACTCAAAGATCACCCTATGTTTTGAAAAATGAATGAAAACGACAGCGTGTAAGAATATCTAAACAACTATTTTTAAAAAATTAATAATTGTACTTATCCAAGTTTGTCAGAAATTCAAACAGATAATGAAACTTGAATCCATTGCTTTAAACCCTCAAAATAAATTTGCAATAAGATGCTCTTGACAAAACAGCAAATCATGAGAAAAGTACGGAAGCGTATTAGGGCCGCAGCAGTATTTTTTTTAAAATTTGTTATAACAAATTAATAATTTGTTTAAACAAATTATTAATTTGTTATAACAAATTATTAATTTGTTATAACAAATTAATAATTTGTTATAACAAATTAATAATTTGTTTAAACAAATTGATAATTTGTTATAACAAATTGATATTTTGTTATAACAAAACAAATTATTAATTTGTTTAAACAAATTAGTACTTTGTTTAAACAAATTAGTAATTTGTTTAAACAAATTAGTAATTTGTTATAACAACTTAGTAATTTGTTATAACAAATTATCAATTTGTTATAACAAATTATCAATTTGTTATAACAACTTAGTAATTTGTTATAACAAATTATCAATTTGTTATAACAAATTATCAATTTGTTTAAACAAATTAATAATTTGTTATAACAAATTATCAATTTGTTATAACAAATTATCAATTTGTTATAACAAATTAATAATTTGTTATAACAAATTAATACTTTGTTATAACAAATTAATAATTTGTTTAAACAAATTATTAATTTGTTATCACAAATTAATAATTTGTTATAACAAATTACTAATTTGTTATAACAAATTAAAAAAAAATACTGCTGCGGCCCTAATACGCTTCCATAGAAAAGCAAAGAATTGCTAGAATACAAAAACAGTTTTGTATTCCATTTCCTTAGATATTACTGGTCTTGTTGTTCAACTTCTTATTCGGGGAGGCACTTCCATTTCTGCAAGAGTCTAAAAAGCAAAATTTTTGCAAAAAAAAAAAAAAAAAAAAATCAAAAGGTTTATGAAACAAAGGAACAAGAATCAGGAATCCATTATATTAAATTTCTTCATGACAGCGTCCAAACCCACAGGCCATGAAGAGTAAAGGAGTTTTGGGGATAAACAAAGAAAGTTAATGTTTTGTCACATCAACAATGTTCGTCAGATCTTTCAACTTTTCACTTAATTCATTACTCAAACTTGAAAAAAAAAACATCTTTCAGAAAGAAAAAAAAAAACAAGTACAGGAAATCACAGGATCTGCCATTTTCCAGTATACGAAGGGCCATACTCAAGAATGTGTCTTAAAACAATTAGAAATTGGATAAAAATGTTACGGACATGTGTTTTGATTAAAAGAGAATACTAAGTGAAATCATTAAAACTGAGTCATTGAAAAGCGTTATTTTGTTTCTTTCCGAGTGCCGATGACATAATTTATTGAACAGCCCTCGTATATGAATATTGAACAAAAAACTGTATTAACTTGTCAATCTCATTATAATTAAACCAATGCCAGCCAGGTATATGACAGTTAAATTGCAAAATGCAGACGAAATGAAAATTTATCCATGCTGTAACGGTCTTATAGAGAATAGATTATGTAAATATTGTTTATCACCTTAGCATGAGTACAGAAAGTTAAGTATTAAAAATTTATTTTTTAAAGGCAAAGATCATGTATGCATAAACTTACAATGTTTACAATTTTTTTATTTACTGAAATTATCATTGGATTAAGTGATAAAGGAGAAATTTCCTGAAAGACGTGTGAGTTGGTATTAAATAAACAAGTTAAATGAAACAGATTGTTGAACAAATTTAAGATAAAAAATTTGTTATATGTTTTATTTTAAGGAAGATGGCCAAACAGCAAAAAAGGCAAGTACAATACCTATTGTTCGACAATAAAGAAAAGTATAATTAAAATCTCATTTATAGCAATAGATGTATTTTGTATGTACGTTCTTCATAAATCACAATAATCTCGAAAAATATTCAATTTTTTGTCGTTGACAAAGCACCCATACATCTAGCTGCAGAACTGTAGCTCTCTGAAAAAAATATTTGGACAGACTGGAGAGCTACAGCTCCACCCATTAAATAAAAAGTTTTTTTTTTTTTTTTTTTTTTTTTTTTGTCAGTAAACAGTGCGCTGTTTCTCGATTAATTTTTTCCATGTTTTTAAACTGTCATATTAAAATATTACTAACCGTGAGTTCCTAATATATTCTTTCACTGTTTCTACAACAAAACATTCTTTATACGGTGGCTGTTGTTAATAGACCTCCTGGCCCTGAAATTGAGATCATCGAAAATTTCGTCTATTCATACTGCCATTTTAGTTGCAAGATAATTTGGCCCATTGCACTTCGTGCAGATGTCAACCACGAGAGTACTTCATAGAAGATTAAGGAATTTTTTCAAATCTATCTTTTTTGCGATTGAGGCAAGAATTTGGTAGAATTAATCCAGAACAAAGCGACTTTTTTGTGCGCAATAAGTATACAGTTTTTACAATGGGTGGCACTATAGTCTACTACAGGCACTACAGTCTTTCAATATATTTTTTTCGGAGAGCTACAGTTCTGCAGCTACCAGACCCCAAAGTACTAGTAACTTACGGTAAAAATGTCAGATAGATTCATAAAAGACAGGTGCTCTTTCAACTCTACTTCACTCGTACAATATAGTAACTATCCTCTCACCCCCATCCTCCGTCGAGGAATTTTTTTGATACAAATATAACACAAAAATGTCAGACACAAATTGGACACTTGGCTAGCAAAGATGTCATTTAGTGATTTTTTATTTGAAAATCAAAATATGATCTTATTTTGATTTTCAAATAAAAGTCAGTAAACGAGAAAAATGCAAGCTTTTTCCCTCTGTATTTGTACATGTAGGCCTTTACTCCATAAACGAGGGTTGTCCGGTAAAAGCGTGGACAAAGCGTTTTTCTCGAAAAATAATGGGCGCACTAAGCTGAAGTTTTCAGTAAATGATTATTTATCATACTTAAGTGCATTATAATTTTTTGATAATACAGTCATAGACAAAAATAAAAGTTTATTATGCTTGAATGTGCACAGGGTATGGTCCTAAGGCGCAAGGTCAAGAAACGAAAGTTTTATAAGAGAATACAAGAGTATTGATTCGAAATAAAACATTTAAATAGATAAGATTGGGCTAAAAAGTATCCTTATTCGATTCCACAATTAGTTTTGTCGTCTTTTTAAAAATTTCATGGCATCTGGTTAATTTTTGGCAGTTTTCTGAGCATTCAAAATGGGAAAGTGGTAAACACGAAACACGAAAAATGGTGACGTTTGATGACGTTACGGCGCACCGGAGAGCTGACTTCAGTTTGATTTAGATGGTGTAATAACATCTTAAGAGACTTAAAATTAATACAGAAGAAAACTAAATTTTTTGAAAAATCAACAGATCTTTAGTATAGAAATGAAATGGGGGTTTTCTTAGTGAAGTCTTTCTTGATCGAGTCCCCAGGTAGTACAAAACATTAATACAAACTGCTTTAATAATGTAATAGCAAAAGACGCTGTCACCGTTGACCGTCAATATAAGATTGTCTATTAGTTGAATGATGGTGGGAATATTGTCTGTAACTTACTAATAAATCATTAGAAGATTGCACGTTTGTGCCAGATTGGTTCCTCACTTGTTTATGGAGACTAAATTATGTGCATCAATGAAATTCCTATATTCAAGTGGGGCTAATTCCACTTTATTTCAATCGCAAAGATGAAACATAATGCTGTTATAGACACTTTGACGTTATTATCCGTCCGCCGTAAGGCGATACAATACATAATATAAAATCTTATAATTTGTTTATTTATGCATATATCTATTTGAAATTTGCTACATTAATTCAGAAAATATGTATTAACGAGTAGTGAAAATTTCAGAACGCAGTGATGATTATTTTTCACGCTAGACAACTTGTCCACGATTTTACCGGAGAGCCCTCGTACATGTATTTGAAAGATTAATTTATACTCAAAGTAAGCGTAAAATATATATTTCTCGGTTATTTATTTTGGTTAATTTTGGAAAGGTAAATGAAATAAAAACCATTTTCTCAGATACAGGGGTGAATTTTCATGAAAGCTGTTCCTTAAGCTAATACATAATTTTCTTCCCACATGACCTCTTTATAGAACTGTTACAAAAAATTCTAATAAAAGATATTATAAACTGTTCTTAATTTCAGTTTATAAACAATCTGAACTCAGCGTTCTAGTTACAGTCTTGAAATAAACTTTAATGAAAAACTACACAGAGTAAGTACCTACTGAAGTTCATTTCATTCCAAATTTGATTAGAAATTCAATACTTCAAAATTACGCAATTGCATGCCTTTCCGACATCATAACAAATATATTCAATGAATTTTTGTTATCGTTTCCTATCAAACTTTCATTTTTCAAATTTAGACCCAAAGCAAGTTTTGACATTTTACTTTCTAGCATAAAGGGAATAAATAATTTAAAAAAAATTAAAATTGTCTTGAAGGTTTTATCTTTTAAACACAAAGCAAAAGTTATACAACATTATGGAGGAAAAAATATCGCAGAAAAACACACTTACCAGACATAGTGATTTTCTTCTTAAAAACCACAAATTCCAGATTATCCCGTTTTTAAAATGGTTGGATGGGTAAAATATTTCGCACTTCAGTTGTATATATAAATATGTAGAAGATACCAATCTATGAAGACTGAATTTGAATTTTTCAGATCAACAGATAAAGATTGGCGCTAGTCGCTTTGAAGTGAACGAGGCCTTTCAGTATTAATATCCGTGAAGAAATTTTATAATTATTCAATAAAAAAAGCACCTCAAAGTGTGTTAAACTACCTGATTTTGATATATTGAAAGGAGAAATATATATTTTTTTTCATTTTGGTTGAAAGTGTTTGGACGTAAATTAACGCTTTTGTATGAAAACGATAAATAATTCTTCTGGCATGCTTGAGTGAAAACAAGTATAAAAAGTGCATATAATGACAGAAGACAGGGCAAAGACCCCTCTTATAAATATAGGAAAAAAATTTGTGTTGCTTCATTACCAAGAACATAAAAAATACGGAAATTTCAGCAATTGAAATTCATTTCAAAATTTGTTCAAGGGAAATTTACAATAAATAGTAATAATGCGGCACTCTGCATGAGTTGGTGAGCAAAGGATCTTTACATGAAACTGATCATGAATAATACATGCATACAAAGAAAAAACACAAACATGTACTTTTCCTATCTACATCATTTTTTTGAATTTTATATTTCAAACTTGACTCAAAATTGAAATTTCATGAGAAATTATCTATATTCGTGTTTTTTGTTTGTTTGTTTTTTTTTTTCGTCGGAGGGGATATTAAATTTAGTGGGAAAATATCCATTGGCAATTAATTTTTAAAGTCTGTCATTTAGTCAATCTGATTATTCCTCGCGATGATTTTTCTAGAAAAGACTAAATGCTTCAAATAACATGTTACTGTATATGACTATTTGCTTCTTTCAGTTGATGTGTACAGTCAGTTATATTTGTTTCACAAATTTTGTCATGATTATTTTGTAAAGATATTGAAATAAATTCAAGACATTTTTTAAAATTTGATTATAGTTTAATTTGTCAGACTATAAAGAGGACTAATGTGGAAGTATAATACATGTAACTATTGAATTTTCAAATAAACGTTTTCCCAACTTGCAACGAAACATTTACCAGACATTTATCAAAATGCAATGAAATGGAGATAAAAATTAAGTGTACCACGGGGAGCAATGATTCAGACAAAACATTGCTGAAGATTAAATGTTCATAAAGGACACAAAACAATTTTTGATATTAAGAGCTTAAATAATTCAATAAAAGAGTTGACATTCAACTGACGTTTAATGTTCTCAGAACCTAAAAACAGAAGGGCTAACATTGACGTGTTTGAAGCAGGCAGTTTTATTTGGAAAATAATCTCAATTATTTCAGATTTTTTTTTCTATTGTTCAGTTTCAAACATGATCATGTTTAGGTTTCTCAAGTTAGTTTAGAACATGTTTCACAATCATCAAAATAGGACTTTTTTTTCAAGACAAGAATCTTCAAAAATATGAAATACATAGCCTTACATATAAACTTCTTAAATTTCTAGAACTCTTACGAGTTTTTCTTTAAAGGTTTTAACAAAATGAGTGATAGTAATCAAAGAAAATAGATTAACCAAGATAAGAAATAAAATGACTATTAATTAGTAAAATATTTATGACAATACATTGTAATATATAATATATTAAACTTTGAAATTCATATAAAATTGAAGAAATATTTACTTTGTACAATACATGTATTTGTGTCTAAATCAATATTAATAAAATCAAATTCTCTGGCACACAAGAAAATATTATGAGGAAATACAAAACTAATATGTATCTACAATGATTCTGATTTTTTTTATCCCCTAAAAAAATAATTTAAAAGAAAATAAATTAAGTTTTATAAAGTACTCCCTGACATTATAATAATTCACAACACAACATATCAAATGCACTTTTTGTAAAGAAAAAAATCACACTTAAAAAGTTAAACTTAAAAATCAAGATATTTGTTTCTAACTTAAGTGATCTACAAATGCTGGGCACAATCATTTTATAAATTTAACGCACTAAATCTAAAAGTAAATATATACATATCGACAAATAAGAAACAAGAAATTGTTAAACGCAGATTGCATTGTAAAGCACTTGGTAAGCACGATTTATACGAAATAAAAGAATAAATTTTCTCCCGGAAGTGGAAACTCTTTAGAAAGAGGTCTGCTTTGAGTCGTTAAGCAGCCGCCGGTAGGTGGTGTAAATCTTCTCAAAATTGTCATTTTCCAATCCACCCAACTCTCTGAAAAAGATATAAAATTGATGATGATATCACGCATAGATAAACTGATTTAATTGCTCAAAAGAAGTATGAGAGAAAAAAAATAATGCAAATGAAATATTTCAATAGCATTTGTTTAAATTTATTCTTTTAAAATCAGTATGTCTGTTATACTGCATTAAAACGTATAGTTTAATACATTTCGGATTATCATAAAATATCTGACTGTGTATATTATTCAATTATTCTAAAACGTAAACTTTATTGAGAGACATGGCTAGAAGTTTGATCAGGAATAAATAAAGAATATAAAGACTGGGTATATTTTTGAATATCTCTTTTATTTTACATAACATCAAGTCCATTACATAATATCCAAGTAGAATATATTGTTTTAGAAGAATTTTGTAAAAGTACGTTTATACTTACTGTCGGAATTCTCTTTCCATGATGTACTCTTGTTCCGGAAGTTGTGATGCGGCCGTGGTGATGTTGATTTGCCGAGTGCGCTCAATTTCGATTCCTCCGCCCATGGATCCCATACCTTCCGCGTATCCGTCACCCCGGTAGGCGGCGTTACTGTAGCCTACAGAACCGGTTCCGGACTGATAACCGGCATCTGCGTTCATCATATTCTCGTGCCGCAGGAGATTCTCGTGACGTAGGGCCTCCAGCTCGTAGTTCCGGACATCCTGCCCCTCCCACCCGCTCTCCAGTTCACGCAACTTGGAATCAATCTGGTCGTTAGGGACGCTGTGTACGAAAATACATATGTAAGTTCCATATAAACCATATAAAGCAAAAATAGTCTTAAATGAAAATTTATATCCCCAAACAACAAACACAATACCACAAAAAAAATTGTTGCTTAAAATATAAGACCTGATTTGCTAATTTAAATGTATGTTTCTTTTAATCTTTATTAATAATTCATTATATATGTTAATATTTTTATCCGCAAATCCCCTACAAGGTTACAAATTTACTTACCCTCTAAGAGATTCCAACCACGCTCGCGGAAGCTTCATGTCCCTGCAACAAACGTTACAAATGGATCAATAAATATCATATTTCGCTTATTTGAAAGCCTATAAATAAGGCGAAAAACAAGATATGTATGAAACGAATGTTAGTAAATTGAAATTGATATTTAGGATTTAAATGTATTTACACTTCGTTTTATTTTCAATGGACATTGTTTTTGGAGCAAAAAAAAAGTCAAATGAACAAATTAAAAAAAGAAACAATAACTCAAGTACCTGATAAAAGTTTCATTACATGTATGACTCAGCGTCATCTCTATTTAGCCCCAAAGCTGTAATATTTATTCAGCCTACATATGGACGCATTGTGCCAAATTTGCTTTTTTTTTTACTTAAAGGTACTAACACACGCATATCAAATGTTACAAATGTTGGAACACGGTCAAATTGTTTTATAATATGATTTACGTAATGCTGGTGGCACAAATTCACATAGATTTGACTGCATCAGCTATAAGAACATGTTAACCATACTAATACATGTTACAAAAACATTTTTAAAAAATTTTTTGGTACATCTACCTCAATCATCTTTTCATTGAATACATGTACTTTGTTTAAAATACAAAACGAACATTTTTTACAAAGACCCTTGATCTACACTTACAAAAAATAGATTTATTTTATTTTCATTTTTTTAAAAATAATAATTTCTAAAAACTTTCTGGCAAAACTTTTCAACCAGTTCAATATCTCGTACTTTAATTTTTCAAACTCACTTTCGATTTGTTAATCATCTTAATTAGTCATGATTGTGTTTTATAAACATCATTTTCTATTATTGACAAATACTCACACTTCGTACAGATTGTCGTAGTCGTATTTATCCAGTTTGTCCCATTCCTTATTAAAGGTCCGGAAACTGTGAACCGAATCCACATCCGTACTCCTATGACTAGAAAATAAAGAAAGATAAATCAATTTTTCAAAGGTTTAACACAATGTACATGTAGAGGAATATGCTTACACTTCACGACTTTGAAAAAATTGTACATGTACTTGTAATTGGGAAAAATAATTATACCACATGTATATGATTGAGGAAATTTTGGTATGAATGTCGGAAGGGTCAAATGAGTACATTTATTTCACTTACAAAATATATTTTCTCAATTCAAATCTAAAAAATTATTCTTTAGATCCACATTATTATCTTTCATTAATATTCAATAGTTTTATCCCAACCCTTGTAATATTGACAAAAATGTACATGTAGCAAAATATAAAGTTATTTAATTCTATCAGCTTCTATTTCACCACATTGAAGAAAACGAATAAAGTATACATTGTGTAAAAGTAAGTACATATACTTTGCTTCCTTTTCTTACTTATGCACACGTGACTAAGAGCTAAACTACATTGTAGATCTTATTTCGAGTTTTTATTTCATTGTCATCTCGCAGAGGTGAACACAATGCTGGACTATTTATTGACTGTTTGTTAGCAAATGTTTTACCTGATGGTCTCCATTTCTTTGACTTTAGCCGCTCCGATAGCACCAGCTGTCCTCTTGCTCTTACCCCCGGCTGCTCCTCCGCCGCAACATGGGCAACACGGAAGTGGGCAAAGGCAGCAAAGAATGGGCAAGGCAAGAAACAGGAAGGTAGCAAGCCCGGTCAAAATTCCCGCCAAAATGGCTGTGTCGTCATGACTTAATCCACCAATCGCAGGAGCCGTGGCTTGCACAACAGGGACTGTGTCGATTTTGTCAACAGTGGCTAGACAATGGAGAAGAAAATAATAAAAATTTTGATAAAACTTCTCTTGTGTTGCCGTATGCCTTTAAATAGTAAAAGATTTTTTTTACTTACCAAAGCCCCCACTGCAAACACAAGACGGATCAGCCATAAGGTCAGCATAGTTGTCAAACAGGTCCGCTAAAATCGAGAAAATGAATGACAGAAAATGAAATTATAAAATTTATACTGTTATTTATACTGTAAATCACTTATTATTGGCAATGACTTTATTTTCGCGTATTTACGCGAAAAGATGTGCTCACGAAAATTTAATTATCGCATATATTAGCATTCCTTTAAGATTGTACAGAGCAATAACCACAATTCGTGAAAATTTTGTCTCGCTTATTAAAAGTCAATGGCTATCTCGCGAAAATAAGGTTTTACGAAAATTTAGTGATCTACATTATATGGATTCAAATCACTCTGATTGTCTAATGTATGATTATTGATTGCGTTATTTTTCTCTCTTATGCATACAAAGGATTATGCGATAATAAATAAACATGAATATCAAGACACATGTGCGTGTTGTTTACTAATTTTCAATCTAAATTTAAAAAGGAATTTACGATAAATAAATTTGCCATGTAATTTTTTTCAACTTTAGATTGAAAATCAATAAACGACATTTGTATTACTTCCTTTCGATTATGGAGTTACTAATTTTGTGAAAAGACAATGGGTATAAGTAAAATTTATTTCCATTTTTAGATGACTTTATATTGTGGACATTGCCAAAATTGATGTCTGCCAAATCATAAGGCTGGGGACATTCCTTATTATACACTGAAAACATTATGTCAGATTATTTTTAATTTCAGAGTTAGGCGTAAAAGTCTAAAATTAAATCTAAGTTCTTATGGGAACAAACATGTACCATAAACAAAAATTCGATTGATTTATATTTTTGACTGATTCTGAATGGATATGACATTAATAACTCTCCAAAATATAAGGATAGTGTACGTTTTCTCTGGTCTTTAGATAAGCTACTTTGTATCGTTTCTTATAATTCTTAATCGTAATCTATACAAAATTTTGCACTTGTTTTTGAAATTGTGACAATTTTTTTCAAAATTCTCCTACTTAACCCAGAAAATACCATAAGATTCACCTCCTGCACATGAGTTACATATTTGTATATTAATCAATTAGTTGTATATATAAATATGTAGATGATATAGCTGATTTTTAAAAACGTTTGTGGTATTTATCCTGTACTTTGATTAACAGTACACGTTGTACCTTATAAAGTCTTAAAACCAGAACGAAATGTGTTAAAATTAGGCCTATCTGATTTTGTTACCCCATCATTTTAATACACATTCTTCTTGCTTTTCTATCAATATTGTAATCCAATAGTACTTGAACCTGTATATTTCAAAGGATTTTTTAAATGAGCCTAAAAGATGGACTTAATCTACATGTTTGCCCGTCTCCAATAACGCACTTTAAACCCTGAATCGGGTCGAACTTCCTATAAAATATATATCTATCTAAACCATCTAAATATAATTTTTGTAGTTTATTGTAAAATGAAAATATTTTTTGTGAAATGGACTCTTTACAGAGAATTTCTAGTATGTCATTTTCAATACACAAATTCTATGTCACTTTTCAGAATACAAGTTAAAAAGCCAGCGAGAACTATGTTAACCATACTATAGAGGAGTATAATATACTTTTGGATAATCCAGTCTTAAACATGTACTGTATTTTGGACAACTCTCTCTTAAATTGCAGATATATTCCAACATTTGTACATATGCAAAAATAACTAGCCATTAATTAATTCATCAGACATTTTTTACAGGTTGACAATAAACGGAATCTTATAACACAAAGCCAAGTATCACAGTTAACAGTGCACATTCTTTTTTATATAAAACAATGGCCTGGGGTTGAGAAACAAAGGACCGTCAAAACAGATGTGTATCACCGTATAATGGTCCGGCCCGGGGGTGAAAGGCAGGCCAGCGATAGAGACAGGATTGGGAACGGGCAGGGGCAATGTCACTGATATTTAATTAATTCAATTTACCTGGAAGGACATGTGCTTGTTAACGAATATCTTCGCTAACTTTATGCACGATATTACATTTCCTTCAACGGTTATTTTGCTCATAAAACTTTTTTTATGATCACAGAAGCTACATGCACGTTTTTCCAAATTGATGGGAAATATACAAGATGTTAAAATGGAGTTTGTATTGAAAGACAACTACTAGTAATTGAAAACCCACTTTTTTGTCTTGCTTTGATTAATGAGTAGAAATACACACAGTTCATGCAATAAGGACAAAAGATTCTTTTTAATATAAAAATAATTATTGCTTTACATTCCACTTTCGGATTTATGAATAATATATAAAATTTTTAGTGGTATTGTTTCCAAGAATCGACCAAAAAAAAATGATGTTTTTATATATGTTTTAAGTTAACGTGCCCTTATATACGTTGTAGAAAAAAAATTAAAAAGGTTATCTTATTTTGTAATAAATTGGAATTATTACTAAAGTCATTTTTCAATTGACATTAAAACTTTTGAAAGTTGTTGATGTTTTCTTTTCTCGCCCATTTTACCAATTAATTCGTCCAAAATATCCCAGTAGTTTAATTTCTTATCAGTAACTTGGTATGAACGTATTACATTAAAATATTAGATATGAACATAACGAAAGTTTATCTTTTAAATTTATAAGAAAAATTATAAAATAAAAATGTGATTAAAATGAATTCTTATAATTATATTCTTTTTAAATTTGAATCAAAAGAAGAAACAATAGAGATACTTACAGACGAGAAAACTTTTTGATCCGTCAAAATTCATCTCGGAGATTTTAAAACTGTGATCTTTTACTTTACATCGAAATTTGTGTTAAGTCCTCAAACGTAGTTTTGTGTCAGCTGACGAAACATTGTTTTATTGCAATATACAGACATCAAGAAATTCAGGGGCACCCGAAAGGGTTATATAAAAAAGAGAAAGAGCAATGAGAATAAAAATTTCATTTAAAATTGTTATCTAATTTAAGCAATTACAACAGACGTTATTTTTCTTATAGAAAAAAAAATTACAATAATTAACCAGATATAATTTTCATACATGAAATATCAGTAAATATTTTATAGATAACTTTTAAAAATACACCTCTGCGCATGCCTCAGGCGAAATCGCGTTGATGTCTCATACCGCGTGACTTCATGATAATTTTATCCACTTCAGATACAGTGTAGAACAAAACCCACCTTGCCCACCGGACAAAAACATTTGATGCTCGTTACACATAAATTGGACATCCTTTACCTGAGGATTAAGACCTTGCTCTTACTAAATCTGCTAGAAGTTAATTATAATGATTTTCTTTTGTTTCCGCTATAATGGGTCTGGATAATGCTTACGCTAGCCTAGATTTTTTTGTGGAAAAATTTCAGGTTTTTTATTTAAGACACAGTAAAACATAAGTTAAACTTATATCTATTTTTTTAGATTAATAAATAATTCTGTTTTCCATAAGTCAGTGTTTTTTTAATTTAAATAAAAGTATTGATTTTATGATCTATTTTCTATAATCATTTCTGAGAATTCGATCCGTTATACTTTGATAATCTTCTTGTACATGTTCTGTAACATCTTACATAATATCGCGTTTCCACTTGAGCAAAATAAAATACAAGTTCCTCAACTCGTATTAGTTTAATACATTGTAACAAGCTTTATAGTGCAATTTTAATAAACTGTAACATGAGTATTTTGTTAAATTGATCTGGCCGAATTTCGTCTATGTTCTCAAGGGTAAAATTCCTATTAATGAGGTCCACATAAACAAAATCTGTTTGTCGATGTTTGACCCCCGACTGACACCTTTTTAAGATTATCAGTATTGATACATATTGAATATGTTTCATTTTATAAAGTAAGGTAGGTATTTCAATGACTGAGAAAGGGTTATGGGCATTCCAGAACAAAAGTTTTTTTTCATCTGATTACTGAAGCACAAGGGCTTACAAAAATTGTTAGGTTAGTCATCTTGAAATGTCAATAGCTCAGTTAGTTTAAAGTCATGTATACATGTACAAATATAGCCTTTTGATGGACCCTAGATATACATGCATACATGTATACCTAAGCATTTTTACAGAGCGAAATTATAGTAAATAAATAAATAAATGTCGGATATGAAAATTAAATATCAAGGAATGTTATTAGGACTCAATATTTTTTTACACGAATGAAAGGCGTCTTTTCAACATTGAAATATCTTTATTTATAGGAGAAAGGCCTCAAACTGTCCATTTTTTGAAAGAAAGAACTAATCGAAAGCCCTAGGCACAAAGACTCATGGAACAAAATACCTCGAATACAAGGAGGGCAATTCTAAAACCAACCGAGGAGGATTACAGCACCGAAATGTGAAAGCAAACTAAGGTTATCAGGGCCTATTAGAACAAGATTGCTCCAGAGAATGCCCCGTTTTGGTGTATGAAAAGTACCTTACTTTAAGGCATGTAGTGTTTAAACATCAGTTAATAATAATTTAATGAGATTATTGCTTTTTTGAGTTCTTTCTAAGTTTTTTTTTTTTTAATTTTCAGGCCTGAAAATGGCAAATGTGATGCTTTATATCGAAGACCACTAAAATACACAACCAAGAAGTAAATGGTATCAGATACAGCTGTTGGCGTCCCCATTCTTTAAAACACAGTAGATAAAACTTTGTTTTCAAGCAGGATTTAAAGGACATTTTACAAATCATTCTTTGTGTCAACAACAGCTACAAGATTATATGAATCGAAGCTGGAATTGATGAGCAACTCATCACAGAGAAGACAGGCCACAGAGTACTTGCTGTACAATCATACAAACGAACAGACGATACTAAAGTTCAAGACATCAGCAAGATTATTCATGGGAATGTTAAAAGTTGCAATACATTTAAACAAAACGCAGAGGAAAAGATACAAGTGAAAGTTAAGGGAGTGAAAATCCTAATACTATAGTAGTAAAATCAAAATCAAAAGTGGCAATCTTAAAATTTTAAAGATTTTGAATGTGCCACAGACTGGACATCTTACATATGAAATCAAAATCAAAATTGGAAATGTTTCTTTTGAGTTTAAATCTGAAGATGTGTTGAATAAATATTGTATCTAATGCATTAATTGTTATTTCCCCCTTAGGTACATGCCAATCTTTACCTGGTACTGTCCATTCTGTTTGTTTTCATTGTCCATTCTGATTGAAAAAAAAAAAAAACTGTCCATGCTTTCAAGAATTGACAGTTTTTCAAAAAGAATGAACATCTTTTTCCATGAGGATATTATCCGTTTGCCCGTGTGGCACAGTGGTTAGAGCGTCTGGTGTTCCTTACGTCACGGGTTCGAATTTCACTGTTGGATGACACCGTAAACCTTGGTCCTGTGACGCAGTAGGTGCTGGCACGAAAAAGATCCCTCACTACTCAGGGCCCTGAGTGCCAAGTATAAGACAAAAATGGCAGCTCTCCAACGGCAAGTGGTGGCGTATCCATATGAGTGAAAATTTTTCGAGAGAGACATTAAACAACATACAAACAAACAAACAAGGTATCAAATTAGACAAGAAAGATAACAATTACTCTCAAATCATTTTTTTAATTTATAATGGAAAAAAAAAAATTAATTTTTGAATAGCAAAATATCACTGATAACTTGTAAAATTTACAATAACAAAATATACTGTGTGATAGAAAACTAACAAGAAGCCTCAAGAACTAAGTTATCATATCACGAGTATATTGAATATTTTTTGCGAGGTATATAAAAAAAATTCACCATAAGAAATATTTTAATGTTATAAAATGTTTTAAAGACAAATTGTAATTCATAAGGCCATTCTAGAATTAGCCTGTTTTTCTACAAGTCTTATCCGGGAGACAATTAATAGACTGTATTTGTGCAGGAGGTGCGATCTCCCATATATTTAAAACTATACAATATAATATTTAATATATGATATTTTCTCTTTTTTTTCTTGTTGATATTCTGGGTTTTTTTAAATTTTTTTTTCTGTATGACTCTACAAATTACAGATAGAAAGCATGTAATGATTCAACCTAATCAAATCAATGCATTGTGATGTTTTGTTTTTCTAATGAAACAGGTTGTGTTTGTGAAACACTGATGCCATTGTATGACAGCTTATTGCAAGGGTTAAAGTTACATAAAAGTAAGTCAAACTTCAAAAAAGGCCAAAAAGTCAAAATTGTTGGTATCCAAGGGAAGGTCTTGTCATAAGGAAAAAACCAGTGAAAGCCCTAGTACTACACTGTTCGAAGGTCATGGCCAAGGATAATGATTTTTCTAAAAAGTGGGTCAAACTCTGAGTTAAGGTCAAAAATATTTTTATTCATTGATAGGTCTTGTCACATGAATACACTTATGAAGTATGAAAGCCCAAGCATGCCATACGTTAAAGAGTTTGGTATGTTGTTTTGTAAGAGTAGGTCAAACTCCAAGGTCAAGGTCAAGAGGTCATATTTGGTGGTACCCTAAGAAAAGTCTATTCTTATGGAATACACCTGTGAAATATCAAAGCCATATCCCCACCCACTCAAAAGTTATGGGCTAGGTAAAAGTTGACAACAGACAGACAGAAAAACAAACAACCATACAGACAGGACAAAAAACAATATACCCCCGGGATCTTTCGATACGGGGCATAAAATGGTTTTGGCGTGACCAGAAATATCAATATGAAGGTTTGAAAATATACGTGGATGAATTGGGACATAAAGAGAGACAAACGAAACAGTCAATTTGATCATTTAAAGTGTCTTCCTTTTATAGGGGATTTATTTATTATACAAAATTTGAAAAGATTTCAAAGAAAGTCTTTGTGACATTTTGTCACAATGAATTTCAAAGTATAGGCGCATATTTGGAGATAACATAACTGTGCATGTACATTGATACAGACAAAAGTACATGCGTCTTCATTTCATAGGGAAATTTATTTTAGAAATATCCCATAAATCATAAATAATGATACTAGTACCACACTCATCATTATCTATTGGATATATCCCATTCTTTAATGATATAATGGGAAAATGACTCATTGTCATTATCCATGGAATTCATTAAAAATCCCAATGGGAGAAAATATCTCATCTAACACTTTTCTCCGTGGTCAGATCAGTGACATATAATGAGGGAATAAGACCTCGTAAATTTACCAATAAGAGCAGTGTGAGTATCATTTTCATTAGTCTCACCTTAGACTCTACACTTTGTGTGAAAATATTGGTAAAAAATTATAATTAAAAACTGCTTCAAGTAAAAATTAAAGACAACTTTTTTTCAAATTCTTTTTCTTTTCTTTTTTGAAAAAAAAAATACATCGATTCATGACAGTTTTTTTCACTCAATTACATATTTTAAAAATATATGAAATATTACATTATAACATTTGATATATATATATATATATATATATATATATATATATATATATATATATATATATATATATATATATATATATATATATATATATACTTCATACTTATTTATAACAAAAATATATAAGCACAAATATACAAGGTTTATTTAATTCAAACTGACGTACGTTTTATATCATAATAATTTGGAAGATAACAATTGCTTCCTCACAATCGTGACAAATATTGTCAACTACATGACTGTATCTCAACTCAATATTTTTGCAATAATACAAAAATCTGTGTGCAATTTTTATATCAATTAGATTTTTTGAAAAAAAAATACACTATTAGCTACATATAAACTTCAAATGGCATACAAATTAAACCTATTTCACACAAATGAAAATTTCAATGCAAACATATTTAGTCTTTCCAGCTCTCCGAAAAGAATAAAAGTAAACTATTCAAACTCAAAATTCCCATTTCGTAAATTAGCTGATTCATTTTTCTGTCCTCTTGAATTTTTTTTAAGTTCTGGAATTTGCAAGCTTACAGCACCATAATGTTGGCAACTAAAGCCAAAAACTTTACTCTGTAAAAAGGGGTCTACGGTTTATTCCCACTTAGCCAAAATTCTGAAATTCTTATTCCCATCTAGCCAAAATTGTTATTTTCACACCTGAGTGGTCACCTGTGTATAGTCTGTTTTAGGCTTATTACCTGTAATTATTACCTGTGGTGTGTAAGTTCAATAACAAAATACATATAAATATTTGTTTTATTACATATTAATTAATCAAGTTCTACATAATAATTTGAAAAAAAAATATATTTAACAGAGAGATAAATAATAATTGACAATATTTAATAATTATTGAATATATTTGAATTATTACTTGACTTATTCTTAACAATAAAAGATAGGGAGGTTGAAAAGAAAAAAAAGTTAATTTAATATTTGAATTAAATATAGGAATTACATGAAGCAGAAAAAATATATTGATGTTTGAAATAAAGAAACAGAGGTGATTGTATACGTATATGCATATTTACTTATTGTAATATCTTTCACACATGCACTACATTAGAACTAACCTTGTACATGTATAATTTTTTATAAGTCTGATAAGAATTGGCTTATATTATAGACAAAAAGTTATATGGATAGTAGACACAAATTTTCTTGGTTTAACATTTTGTTAAATTATTAAAATACTGGATTTATTATATTTTTATATGCACAAAATCAAAGTATAGTAAAAGAACTAGGATTTTTAGTAAAAATGTTCATGTAAATTTATTTAGAAAAAAAACTTGTCAATAATCTTTAAAATTTGGCATACATTTATGCATCGAAGAAGAATTTGTTTCTCAAAGCAAACATATTATTAAAAAAAATTTGAATGATAAAATAGGTGATTTATTAAAAATATAATCTTGCTTTAACATATTTTTCAAATAAAACAGTCTAATGTAGGCATATTGGTAATTATTTGTATTAATTTTATTTGAAATGAACAGCTTATGCAGTACATTAAAACATTATCAAACTAGTGCTAATTGTAACGGGGACCGTTACAGATGTTCCCCAAACGCTCCCCAACTCCCTTTTGGTGCCATATTCCCTGTAAGCTTCATTAAATAAGACAAACTCTATGCACTTGAGACTTTACAACGTTTACCCAAAAGTGTACCAAGTTCATTCAAATTTTAGCGTTGCACACGTGCGCATGTGAATGCATGAGCGTACTGACCATATCATCATGTCTACACAATCTACATATTTCAATATACTGAATGTTAAAGTATTTAATCCAAAAGTATTAAAAAAATACGCTCATTCAAGTGTATTTTTGATTTTGCTCATTTCACGTGCACGCACAAGCATACATGTGCATGGTGACCATACCTTCTTTAGAAGTCCATTACATCTATCTATGTTCTAAATCCCACCCCGTTTGGTTGAAAACCAAGGGAGTTATAGCTGTTTAAAGTTTTAGCCAATCAGATTGCAGCGCACGTACACCCGCGTGTATGCATGTGCATGATGACCATACTTCCTTGTAGTAGTCCATTATTCTTTATGTTCCAAATCCCATCCTATTTGGTTGAAAACCAAGGGAGTTATAGCTATTTAAATTTTCAGCCAATCAGAAAGCAGCACACGTGCGTGCACGTGTTTTCATGATAATTGCTATATATCATGTTGTAGGCTATCCTAATGTATGGCGATGTTCAAAATTTCAAAATATTTCGTCAAAAAACAAGAAAGATATTGAGACTTTAGTTTCAGCCAATCAGAGCGAAGTGCACGTGCATGCGCGTGAGATCTTGCTATTTTGACCATGTCATATTGTCTGTGCTACTAAAATATTCTTATATTATAAGTTTGAAAGCATTTCATCAAAAATTTAAAAAGTTACTCCTATATCAATTAAATCGGTCATTTCACGTGTTGCACGTGCACGCTCTTGCAAGCACGTGCGTGCAAAATGACCTTCGTTCCGCAAATCTACATAACATGCCTACTGACCCTAAAAAGGTTTTACCTAAGTCAGATGTGTAGTTTACAAGATCACTCCCGGACAAAAAAGTACCCAGGAAGAAGAAGAAAAATAATAATAATAATAATAAGAAACAGAGTAAAAACAATATGTTCCCCAACTTCGTTTGGGGAACATAATTAAAGACTAAGATTAAAAAAAATGATATAGAAATTTAAATAAAATACAGATCATTTACCATGTACAAATCAAAAAAAAATTAATAAAGATCTTAGTTTTATTTATTCAGTAAAAATTTAATGACATAATTTTGATTTAAAAATGGCTTTAATCAGTTCAAATTAAAAAAAAATCTAAAATATAATTTAGAATATTAATTTCATTTAACATTCATTAATTTAACAGCATTTTATGTATACTTAAACCTTTTTCCTGTGGTTAACTTAAAACAGACTTTAGGTCACCTGTAATTAATTTCTTTTGTTCTCTCCCTCCCCTTACCTGTACACCATTCCCACCTAGCCAAAACCAGTCACCTGTGTCAATTTCAGAATTTTGGCTAAGTGGGAAGACACCGGGTCTACTGGCCTGTTTTTCTATCTCACATTTTCCACTTAAATACAGAAATTAAACTCTTACTTTTTTGTCCCAAGAGCTTCTTGGTAAAAAAAAAAATCATTGAAAGGCAAGGAAAATCATAATTCATAGAAAAAGAACTTAGAAACATTTCGTTCATCTTACATGTATATGCATAATGATTATGATGCATTCCAATTTCAATCTTATTTTTATTTATAACTTTAGTAAAACAAAAAAATATTGTTAACGTTCGTGTTTTTCGGTACAACCCGAAGTGCGTCCGTTTTCTATGAGAATCTTTACAATTCTAAATCAAGACCTGTCACTATTTGCCTTTGTTAGCAGCTAAAGGCAAATTTAAGTCTCTTCTTCGTGCACATTGCATAGCTTCACTTGTTCCTCGTTGTTTGAGGAATTGTTATTATACATACTCTTTTCTTTTTCATCCGCTTCCGCTTCACGTTCTTCTTTCTCTTTTGCCTCTTCGTCACTCAACGCGAATTCCAAATGCTTGTAATACATAATGAAATTGTTCACCAGGACTGGGACTGAGAAGCCGATGGTTAAAAGCCCGGATAATGCTGTAAAGGACCCCACAATGTACCCCAGCTCCGTCACGGGATACATGTCTCCATAGCCAACCGTTGTCATGGTGATCAAACTCCACCAAAAACTGTGCGGAATGCTTTTGAAAGTTTCCCGGTCGTCCACGAAATAAATCAAGGACGAAAATATTAACATCCCAACTATGATGAACACGATCATTAAAAGTAGTTCCTTAATGCTGGATTTTAAGGTGTATATGAGAATCCATAGCCCGGGAACATGGCGAATTAATCTGAAAATTCTCAGAACCCTAGCGACTCGTAGAACTGAGATGTAATTTATGTCTGCGTCATATCGCAGCTCTGGGTTTATGGCGTAAACAAGGATTTGAATGTAATCTGGGACTATGGCCAGAATATCGACCACGCCCATCATGGACGTCATAAATTTGAATTTTCTCCTGGCAAACAGGAATCGTGTTATGTATTCTATGGTAAAAAATATCAGGCAAGATATATCTATTGCCGTGAAAACAGGGTGTGTAACTTTCACTGATATATATTCCACTTGATTGTGATTGGAGGAAGAATTCTTTGTCGTCGCATTCGACGATGTAAAGTTTGATGATGTCATGTTTTGTATAGCACTTCCGGTTCCGGGTTTTGGTATTCGTATTCTGTTATCAAATATAGGATGCGTTTCAATCACAAAACTGCCGATCGATACGAGAACAAACATCAGTGATATGTAGCCATATATCTGAAAGTAAAATAAATTCAATTTACAAGTTGCTGTCCTTTAAAAAAAGTACTGCAATACGTTGACCATATGCATGTGTTTCAAACCGAAATTCAAGTTAACTTACATGTATCTATACTGTAAGTTCTTCCTACTTTTTGAAATGCTTGCGCCCTAGAATCAATGTTTAGTTTGTGTATAAAAGTATATGTACAAGAGAAAAATTAGGAACCGCCAATGGATATATAAATACGATATGCGGATTTAAAAGCGCGATTTGCCAATGGCATTGATTCTAATTCGAATAGGGCGAATTATTTTACGGGAAATTTGCCTAAGGGGCGAACTCTCTAGCATTCTCGCGCATGCGTAGCCTGTCGTTTGCCCATGGCATCCGGTTTAACCTCGCTCACCTCAGGGTCCTCGCAATATACGTAATAATTGTTCTAACTTATACCGCTCTTTTGCGGAGGAGCTAACTTATACACATGCTCTTTTACAGGAGAGAGCCGAGAAAGCTGCGCCTTAATCCTATTCACAATACCATCAGTGAATAAAATATTGTTTAAATTAAATTGTTTACAGTAGTGACAATCGAATGTTTCGAACAATTTTATGCCGAAAGTACAATGTATTGCCAAGGATTAAACTCCAAATAGTAGATTGTCAAATAAGAAAAGTTTAGAATATTTTATCAGCTTTAAAATGTGATGATTTTCAATGAAAATTTAATGAGAAGAGTTAAAAGATTATTGAAAATGTAACGTTTTAGGATTGGCTCCTCTCAAAAATTGATTAGGGTGGTTCAGTGATTGTTTAGCAAGGTATTCTACCAGGATTTTTTACTTATCTGTTCTTATAAATTCTACAATGATCGATCTTGCATTGTATTCAATATCACATCTGCCCTCAGCCAACAAACTTTTCCTATCTCCATCGCGAAAGAGTTCCGCTACGTTAAGTAACCGCCATATCAAGTATTAGATAGCGATATGTTAAAGAAATACGCAAGAGTTATAGCCCATTATTCACAAAAATTCTATCGAACGTTTCGATAAGTAATGTGCTTCAACTAAAAAATGACATACCATACGTTTTCATAAGCATAAAAATGATGTTAAATATTACAATACATATACGTAGATCAAAGAAAGTGGGATACTATATAAACTAAAAATAATTATTTGGAGAACTAGAACGTGACTTTGACGTCAGCTGCTTTGTATTTCCTTGACCGATCCCGGGCGGATTATATTTTTATCTCCATCATTAAAATTCAGTTGCCAGCAAGAATTTCAGAGTTTTATAAGCCCCTGTTAAATGCACCGTTTAATACTCCTTTTTTGTGATTTATTTTATTTTCCCCCATAATGAGTGTTTTGTATCCCCGATGGCAATGTCTTTCTAGAACATTATACTGTCTCAATCTTTGTTGAATTATTTGCATTATTGTAAGATGCGAATTGTAAACTACGGTGACAGGATAAAAAATATTGTTTTAATCCTGTCTATACAAATAAATGGAGGTACATGTAGGATTATATAGACTTGAACAAAAGCATTCTTTGAAATGCTATACTGGAATGTTCACGCGTTAAGAAGTGTACTCTACAAATTTCAAAGATGTTTTTTTCCACTTTCAAATTTTTATGATATATGACAATAATGGTAAAAAAATTTTTAACTGAAAAAAAAATAAAATTTGGCAGAGGAAAATAATCCCAAAGACACAGTATATACGCATTCGTGTAATAGTAATAATTGCATATTGCGTAAACTTATACAGAACATTTACGATAATGCAAAATGAAGGAATCGTTCTTTCAGTTTATATTAAAATGGAAGAAGTTTTTAATAACGGCATATCTATTTTTTTTTAATTTAGACCATTTGCCTTGTTGCATCGATCTTGTCCCTAAAAGTCTTTACAGATTTAATGTTTTTTACTGTGATTTTGAAGTCGGTATCCATTCCTCCTTTTTACTTGGCTTGGGGGCCATAAAACAAAAGAATGGCAAAAAAATCTCAGGAAAGCACTTTTACAAAAGGAATTAATAGTGGAAAAATGAGACTGAGATCAAAAATGAGCTTGTCTAAGTTGTATGGCCGCCACCTCCAGAATATCCTTGCTCCATATATTTAAACATTTGTTCTCATATTTGCCTCATTTACAAATTTTTTTTTAAATTAATCACTACATCCGTTAGCTTTACTCCATATCAATCTTTACAAATCACAACTTCTCATTCATACAAACCTTTGCGGTCCGACTAGAGTTCGGCTTGTTGAGAATCAACCATACTTGGTTCTGTAATTTACTCCAAAAGGTCGTTGGTTTGACCCTTGAACTTTGCACTTCGTCCATGGACCCCTTCCGGTCCCTTTCCAGCTGCATCAGGGCCTCAAGAGTAGAGTTCCAGCTATTGTAGTGGGACCAGCAACATCTCTGTATAATGTCGTCACCCACACCCCAGAACTAGAAGGGAAATATTGACCTCTACAATCTTGAATGTACCCGTGAATTGTTTATTATGAAGGGGTTGACTAAAAAATCACAGATTAAAGTTTTTGACAAACATTTACGCTGCAAACGTTGAGGCAAAGCTGCTTTTTCCTATTAAATTCCTTCCCTATTTCTTACCATCAACTCCTCCCTTGCTGAAGGGCCGCAAATAAACGAGGGTAAGTGTAGCTCACCAGTCCTCAAGTAATTCAGAATCGCCTGTTGATTATAATATATCACATGTATTCAAAATATTTCAATATATATTATAAATTTTCAATTTAAAACTATTTTTTACATTAGTTGTATAGAGTAAAGAAAACTAAAGGAACACATTTACATTGATCCAAAAATGGAGTTTTAATATTAATTTATAGATTACGTTTTATTAGTATTAATGATTTCGATAATTTTAAGATTATTTACCGATTACTAATGAGAGAGATGGACAATCATTCATGCATATTAAGGTCTGGAAAAAAAAAACGCCTAGAAAACGTATGCATTTTCTTGTCACGAAATGTTCGAATTACATAATCGTTCGTTTAGAATTAATTCTATTCCTTGTCAAAAAACGTAAACATTTGCAGTTGGAGACGTACTTTTACAAAGACATTTATCATCTAACTTTGCAGAAAATCAACTTTTCAGGCAATGCTAATGTTAATTGTGAAACTACACGATGTCCGTGTTTACTGTTTGTAATGGGCGTGCATGATTACACTGTTCTTTCAGTAACCCTTCACACATATAACATACGCGTACATTACCGTAATGTGCAAAAAAATAAATCTTTTGTAAAAAACAAAATAGCAGGATTATGAAAAAATATTTCTTTTCACTGTAATATATCCATAAATGTAAATCCCGTTTCAAAACATTAGAACATTAGAATAAAAGCTTGATAACAAGTATTCCTTGCAAGTCTTCAAATTACATGTAAAACTTAATTGTTCTGAGTATGCTCTATTTATAAAGCGAGGCATGCTCCTAGTTGATAAGTTACAGGAATTTCAACAGCTTTGTTTAAAGTCTGTATTTCGGAAATGAAAAAAAAGTGGTCGCCATTTTTACAATGTTAAATCCCGTAGACTTTGAATTTGGATGAATTTTCGAGAGTTCGGATAAATGCAGGAAGATTGGGAAAAAAAATGATCTATCGATCGGACCTGGGTTGAAGGCCAAGATGTATATCTTTTGATATATTATGCGAAAAGTGGTCACAATAACTTGGTTGAATTACTATATAGCCGTTACAATGACCATGTTAGCAAATAAAACATACCTTTGGGGTCTTATTTCTATTGGAAGCTAACCAATTATTAGGCGTGTGATTTTTTTATATGAATTCACTATGAAAAGTTCCGTCTACATGATCAATACATAAGGTTATGGCGCGTGTGACCACGGTCAATGGGGGATGCTTACTCATTCTAGGCACCTGATTCCACCTGTGGTATTTCCGGGTGTCCGCGGTCTATGCTCACTTTACATATTTGTTTGGTTTACAGATATTATGAAATCAATCACCGTTCGTTTTCTTCAATTTTACATTGAATGTAATTAGTAACACGCCCTGATCACAATCTTTCTTAACCTTGCTCAGGACGTGGTCAATTTAATCCTTCCCTTAAACACATCTTAATCGCATTTATCCTTACGTTGAACATGTCTGGACCTTAAAACATCCGGATTTATCACTTTTCATCCTTACCTTGAACACATCCGGGTCTCTATCAAAGAAATACTCCTTCCGGTCCTCAATGTAATGGCGCTTAAGAAATGTGTCGTTTGCTAAGGGACTATTTGGTTGGCTGTGTAAAGTTGAACGATAGGTTTCGAACCTGGTACCCCCAACATTGAAGACCACTTGTTCACGGGAGAAGGCCATATTCACAGATATTTTTCCGCCTTTTCTGTTCACCTTGGCCCCAGGGAGCAGTGCGTGAAGCAGGTTCTGATCTGCAAGGCCTCCTTTCTTCTTCGACTTCATTTTGGATGAAATTGCTGTTTCCCCCTTACAAGTGGTTGATTGTGATTTGATGGACGACATGGTTCATGGGCTCCTCTAAATATCGCTGGTCAGCCAGGAAACGCCTTTTTTCAAATGATGTAAAAAAAAATTATTTTATTTTTTGAAGTAAGACATTAACAAGTTATAATGTTCACGCTGCTGTGTCATTTTTCTTAATGGCCGAGTGAATGTTGATAATGTGGACGCGGGGTGCTTGAAATCTGTTGAAATGTATATACATTGTGACAAAAATCTCTCAACAAACAGCGACAAAGTGCTCCCGTATTAGTTCACAAAATAAAACTTTATGGCCGCTTTTCAAATGTTGACATTTCATTCAGCGTATTAATAAAAACTAATGCCAATTATATTACGGAATGTAAACAAAATGCATTTTTGTTAAATTAAATATTTAGATTCAAAACGAGCTTTGGCATTTTAAACACTTCATGTTGAAAACGTACTTATAAATCTTTTAAACTTACAAGAGGTGAAGATTCATTACTAACCTTATACAATTACACTTTCTCTCTCTCTCTCTCTCTCTCTCTCTCTCTCTCTCAAATCGCATTGTGTTATGTATTCGGGGGATGAATACAAATTTGAAAAAAAGTACTTTTATCTGTTGTTTAATTATTCAGCATTTTATCAGGTAATTTGATGAACAATGTCTATTTACAGCAGAAAACTACATATGGCTTATTAGTATTTAATGCTATCGTTTAAAATAATATTCATCTGTCTTAGTGCGCTCAGGTTCATATACCTTTTACACAGAAGTGCAACTCCGTGGCAGTTGTTGTTTCAAAAAGGTACATTATTTATCAAAGTGGAAATTATTTTAATGGGTGCTTTTAATTTTTTAAAAATCCAAATGTTGTAAAATGTTTTGAAATTCATGTGCATTGGACCTACGTAACATTAATCTGGAATGATGTACTGTGTATAGGCATGGTTATGAACGTAGAAAATAATGTAAGATTATTGAATTACTGAAATTCTTAATTCTATGAAGGAGCTACAAAATAAATATGAGTGTTTGGAATTCTGATATTTACCTTCTTTGCGATTAATTTTTTTTTTTTTTACGAAAGATGTTATTTATTTAGAAAGCTAGAAAAAATATTAATATCATTTGTTATTTTCCACATTACAACTCAAGCGAAGCAAATTATCATAAAAAGACATATTTCAAAGAGATGCACATTTATCAACTATGTGCAATACTGTGGTAAATGTGTTTTATTGAATGAAATTTAAAAGAAAAAATAGAAAACAAAAACTCACCTGCGAACTTGTCAATGGTTGGGTCTAGTTTTCTCACGTAAAGTATTTACCCAGGGAAAATCATGAATATGTTTGTGCCAAAAGTCACTTGAAGTTTAACGACTTGGGACACATATATTCGAGGTGTTTTGCTTTGAAATGAGGAATAAATTTGTTTTTATGGTTAGCGACGTTACTTAGGTTACATCTAAAATTAAAGGGCAACATTAATGTCGGGGGCAAAGTAAAATCAGTATATAAAAGCGATTTATCTTTTTCAACAAAAGCAAGATTATAAAGTTAGATTGTATGAACATTTCTATTGCCAACAATTTTCTCTCTCAACAACTTTGTAGTTTTTGAAGTCCACACGTTTTGATGACCTTCCGCCATTACAACTGGATATATAACCGTATGAGGTACTTGTATCAATAGCCTGCGCGGATCTAGAGGAGAGGGGTCGCCCCTCCCCTTCCTGGAATTTGCAGGGGGGATTAAATGTATACACTTAATCAAGTAAAAGTGAACATGGATCCCCATAGGAAACGCGGACCCTTCCTCAAAAATACGCTTCTATACATACCCCCCCCCCTTCCCCGAAATAGGTTTTTCAGATTTTGGAAATAAACACGTTAAAATAAGCTTCATTCCATAAACATTTAATCTTAAAAAATAAGTCTAAAAAAAAAACTTACAACATTTTGACAGCCATTTTGTGTGAATTCCTTGCTAGATATTAGCAAAGCTGTAAGTGCTCAGGTGAAAGAAACCTTTTTTTATACTTCCTCAAAAATACAACATTGACAGCTTATGACAAAATGCATGATGGAAACAAAGTAGTTCCAAATCGGCACATCACTCACGCCTATATTCATGACGAATGGCCTTGCATATACTGCAATTATGCAGAAATAATTTTATTGCGTTTTTCAACAAAATTGAATAAAAAATTCTTATTTGTAAACTTTACGCAGCGACCCGGAATTTGAGCTACTGATCATTGTTTTTTTTTTTAATTTGGATATTTTTGGGTCACAATTTTTCGAGAGCAGAAAACCTTTAAGTTATATAATTTTTAATTAAATTATTTAAACATTCGCAATTTTTGGACCACACCTTCCTATAAAAGTATCTTAATATATATCCGATGCAGATTTTTCTGACAGTTTGATTGAAGACAATAAAATGGCTTCAAGTTTGTACATCCTTTACAATTTTAAAACAGGTGACTGTATGTATTTTTGATTCCTTCTAAGAACTTACTGAGCTCTGAGTTTAAGTTCAGTGCTATGTGATTTAAATGCAACTGAATATTTTGTAAGGATAAGCTAAAAAAAAATATACATAAAAGCGTAAACGCAATTCCTTGAAAATATTTTTTAGTCAACAACTTTATGCCAAACAACACAGAAATTTTGTTTCCCCCATACTAACCATAAATGCGTCCCAGAAGATTTTGGTAAGTTATGCAAATACGTACATGCGCGTATCTTGTAAAATCAAATAATCCCTAATTTCATACAAAAGTCATGTTGTAAATTTTGAATTTACTGCATCACGGTATATTTAAAATTTATAATATGTGACCGCGACTGGGAAAAGGGGTCCAGATGAGTAAAAAATCAAAATTAATTTTATTGTCTTTTTTAAATCAGGACACTTTGAAGAACACAAATTCAAAATTTCAAGCAAATATCATTGAAAATAAAGAAGATACAGGGCCAGGTATGCAGGCATATCTTCCAGTCATTTCATAACGTCAGTGACGTTACCATAACGTCGTAATTAGAAAATCAAACATATCTCAACATTCTACTGGTGTATTAAGAACAATCTCTTCTTTTTATTTAAACTCTTCTTAAAATTTTGCTTAGGTATGATAAAAATAAATTAATTGAATCATTAAATATACTGTTATTCTTACTTATTACATGTGACTGTTGAAACAATTTAATTTGATTCAGAAGACTGATTTATTATCCTAAAAGCATCGATGACCAAAGAGAGAAAGGGAAGAAAACATACATAATGAAAAATAATCCAACCATTTATTTGCATTAAAAGATAAATATGCAAATTGAAATTACATTCCAAAATAACAAAAAAGTTATGACAAAATACACCAGATATTACATAAAATACAGAATGATAGAGGTTCTTTTGACAGCTGTGAACAAAATCACAAAAAAAAATGAATAGCAGATCACTATTTTCAAAACAGATACTCTGAATATTGCAAATATGTACATAAAAATGTACTGATGATATTACAGATGTATGCATCTGTACTTTCTTAACATTATCGACAGTATACAGTATTAAGATTATAAAAATATTTAAGGAATCACTGTCTAGTTTTGAGAGTATGCCAGGGCATCAACAATAGTGAGAAACATGGATAATTTGCATAAAATCTTATAACTAGAGAGTGATTCCTTATATTTCCATTTCATTGTGAAATAAAATTGTAGACTTAGACATTAAAAATTTAGACTAATATTAATAGATTTAAATTACACGAGGACTTCCATGCCAATTCCAATAGTCCTTGCACACTGACGTCAAACACAAAGGCAGTCGCAGGAGATTTACATGCTATTTGGCTTCCTTAGTGTCAGATACAGAGACAGATGTGCACGAGATTTGCATGCGTATTAGGCCTCCTTAGCTGCTGACCTATCGACCTACCTAATTTACATTCTGGCAAAATTATCAAAAAATAAATTCCCCCAACTTTCAAACAGTTATCACAGAGAAAAAAAAATTGAAATGGAAATATTACATTTTGGGGTGGGGGTAGTGTGAAAATTATATCCCCTGAAAATTAAAAAAAAAAAAACGAAAAAAAAATCATTTTTGACAAAGCTTTGTAATATTTTATGTTAAACTACATATATTCAAAATGCATTTAAAGGATAATGTCACAGAGAAGGTGCAAACATCACTGAATAATTTTCATACTGTTACACATTTTTTAAACTGTTGAGATGAAACATTACTCATAGGACACAGCTTATGTAAATGATAAAAGTCCTAATTTTAACAAATGTTTTAAAGCAATGAAATTCGACTTACAGAAAAGTACATCAATGGGAGTAGTACAATAGGAACTACAAGTATACATTTTACTTCTAATCTTTCTTGCACACAATAATCTTAGACCCTTCATCTAAGGAGAAGATTCTTCCTTTTTCCCAAGTGTGATGTGGAATGATCAGGTGAATAAACTTTCACCTCTTTCTTTGGTACGGCTGGTTTTGGACATGATGAGTCTTTAGCAGAGAGTGAAAGACAATGTTCACAGATTTCCTCATATAAGTACCATTGCCTTTTGGGCTCAAGACCAGGTGCTGGGATTTCTTGAGGCAGAGGATCATTTACGGAGGGAAGGATATTCTGATCTTTCAGGAGATTAACACACAAAGGAACAGAATTACAGAGTTCCTTACATTTAACAACACCAGGAGTCTCAGCACTTACTCGGAAATTATGATAGCCTCAAATGTTTTTCAAGGGTTTGAAGAACTGTTCAAGGTACGACTTCCAGTCCCTAAACTGCACAGGTGTTTGTGGATCAGACATGAGCTGAGGAACGTTATGGCCTCTCCCAGATGAACGACGGATTGTGTCTGCTATATCATTTATGGTTTCTGCTGTGGATGAATGCCATTTTACTTTCCAGACTCCAAAATGCCAGTCAGGATCAAAATTTAGTGTGTCCTGCCACCATCATAGAATATTCCACAATAATATGGAGTCCTAATTGAAAGGAAATACATTCCTTAATTTCAATATAATATTATAGATATACAAATGCTACATTTAGGAAGAGTTTGCATTTCATGACTATCAAAACTGACATTATACATGCATGTAACATTTTGAGCATTGAACATACCAGTTGAATAACAAACAATGCTTTTACCAGGTACAATTTTTAATTATTAAAATTAAATATTTTTCATTTTGATGTACACTTACCTTCAAGAACTCTCCAGAGAGCATACCATAAGACAAAGTTGTTTTTGTTTTGCCTACTGCAGTTGTCAAAATGAATGGATGTTGTTTTCTCTCCATATCCATGGTACTGAAAAAAAGAGGTGAACCATACTAATGACAGAATTAGCACCCTTCCCTGTGTTCTCAGCCTCATCAATCAAGTAGCACACTTGTTTTCCTGTAAAAACAAAAATTTTAATCAGAACTAAATAACTCAATCATTGACTTGTTTATTCACCTCATATACATGCATTAATTTGACAAAAATAGAATTGTGTTCATATTTTGCTACAACTATATTTAATAGAATTCATAATAACTAAAATTGTTTTATTCAGAATCAGTCTCATGTTATTCTAGATTTGAAATAGTGTCCTACTTTACATGTATTTTAGATTTTACTGTTTCGTCAAATATTTGATTTCCACATGAAAGGTAATTCATAAAATTCTTGTAAGAATTACATGTACAGTTATTTCTGAATGAATTAAAGAACTAAGCAATAAATCATGACTTATGAATTAACATACCTGAACCCTCGCAACATACACCAAACACATTGCATTTCAAAGGCGTCTTGAAAAATACTGGTCCCACTTGTTGGACATGATGAGGAAAATGCACCTTTTGTGCATAGTCCCAGGAATAGTGCATTTCCATATCAACTGAGCATGGAGCATTTCCTTGAATAAAATAAATCATTTATGATCATTTGTATGCATTGATAGTTATTCATGGTATTTACCATGTCATGAACAAAGAAATTCAACTTCACAGAAGAAATGTACTTTTTGCTTACACTTTGGCTATTAAGAGAAAAAAGAGGAGAAAATGCATGGCTGGAATTGAACCCTTGACCCTTGGTCAGGTGTTGTACCCATTGAGCTACCCAGGCTGATAATACTAAAATCCGGGCACATATAATAATACTTTTATATTCATTTAAGGCTAATGATGGAAAGTACTTAGTATACTAACTTGTAACTACATGTATATACACTAAAGGAAAAAAAAAAAATCTTGCAATAAAATTTTAACTAGCCAGTTTGTTTACATTTCTCTGGTAAGGAAACAAACGCTACCTTGCTGGTGGTACACTGGTGTCTGTAATTGTCCCTTTGCTGTTTAGCTTGGGAAAATGCTGCGTATATGTAGAAAGGATTTCTTCCTTTTCCTCACCATTCATCATGTTCATATTAGAAACTGTAGAAAGTTGATGAAATTTGGAATGGATTTATATGTATTCCTTCGTGTCGATGTCATTTACTTCATCCGGTATATATACATCTCCATCATTGTTGTCATTGTCACTTTCAAAGTCAGAATCATATTTTAAATAACCAAAATCACTCGTATCTTATCGCTGTCATTTGACAGATCACAAAACAGTCTGTCACGCACGTTAGATTTTGGAGCAACAAGTTTAGAGAAATACAATTCATTCACACGCTCTATATCTTCTAAAAATTCATCATCTTGATAAAGAACAATATCTGATGGTATACTTATCGATGTTGCTGTGGAAGTTTGGCTCATGTTTAGCACTAACCTACATTTTCAGTTTACATGTTGTGACTTTCACTTTCAATCTGTACTCAACCGGAAATGTAAACACGTCTGAAGTTATGGACAGAGTTATTACTCTTTAAAAACCGCGGTAAATTCAAATTAAAACAAAAAAATACCGTAATAGAATATATTGCAAAACATTTCAACAAATTAACAATAACAGTCATCTATTTCAACTTCATAATTTAAAACACTTTTAATTTTTTCAGAAGCACGTGTATTGCATATTTTTTCTCGCGTTTTTTTTTTTTTTGATTGTGACGCAAACGTTCAGAACTATTGCCGATTTCTCATTATGACGTGTGCCGCATCTGGACCCTTTTTCCCAGTCGCGGTCACATATATGCATGATACGAGGTAAAATCATTCGTCAACGTATATTCAAAACTATTCATAGAGAATTTCTTTTCCAAAATTAGATACGTCACATATTTATCAAGTTTCACTGTATTTGGGGAAGTGTTTTGAAGCAGGCAGGTGCTGTCAGATTCTGGATATAATTCAGGTACATAATTAGAAAGAACAACAGACGGATAGATGGACACCTTTTTAAAAAGACCAATGCATTGGTCTACAACCAGCGAATATAGTGAAATCCATTATAATTTAACCCCATGTGGAACACTGACATATGTAAACCCATTTAGATTCAAAAACACTTAAGCTACATGAATGTTGATAATATGCAAATGCAGACACTTAAAAATTTCTTTCTTTTAAACAATGGAGGTATAATATTTATATTCAATTAATTGAAATACAGAAATTCGTAATATAATCGTATAGACAATGAATAAAAAACGTATCGTTTTCAAAGCATAAACCTTTTAGCACAATATAATATATACTGAAAATACGTTACGAGGCCTTAAGAAAAGTACACAGGATTTAAATACAAGAGCTTTAAATATCTTGCAAGGTGGGTAAATAACCTAGCCACTAAAGCATGTTTGACCCACGGAGTGGACGAACCATTAAAAGGTTTTATTTCATATAAAATAACTATCCGTTCAAAAGGACTGCATTGTGTTGAGAAAACCAACTTATCCCAGGTAATCTCGCAAATTACAAGGGATTAAGAAGACATTTTCAGGCGTTTAGATAATGCATATTAAAGAATCACTGCGATTACTACCTACCTTCAAGCCATATGTTAGGGATATTTCCTTGTTAAAATTTATTCCATACTTTTATTTATTTAAAGCAGACAAAATTTCTTATTTGTTTACTTGAGTTACGACGGTTATATGTTTCTCAGTCATAAATCATGTAGAAAACATGAAAAAAGAGGGGTTTAAGCTCGTTGTTTCAAGTTTATTTCACTAAAAAGTAAAGTTAAAAATTGTCCCTTCTGCTGCATAACATTTAAAATGGATTTAAATGAATTCAGATCATTAAAAAATGAAATGTTTTCCATCATAAAGCATTCGCAAAACTATAAATCTGCACATGTACGAAACACACACAAAACTAGTGCTAATTGTAACGGGAACCGTTACAGATGTTCCCCAAACGCTCCCCAACTCCCATTTCGTGCCATATTCCTGTAAGTTTCATTAAAATAGGCATAATCTATGCATTTAAGATTTAAACAACATTGCATGAGCGTAATGACTATATCATCTTGTCTACACTATTTTACTCATTGCACGTGCACGCACGTGCATGATGACCATACCTTCTTATAGGAGTCCATTATGCCTGTCTATGTTCTTAATCCCATCTTGTTTGGTTGAAAAACAAGGGAGTTATAGCCATTTAAAGTTTTAGCCAATCAGATTGCAGCGCACGTGCATGCGCGTGTTTTCATGACAATTATTATATATCACGTTGTACGACTTCTTAAAGTATGCCTATGTTTTAAATTTCAAAGCATTTTGTCAGAAAACAGAAAAGATATTGAGATTTTTGTTTCAGCCAATCAAAGCAAAGCGCACGTGCACGCACGTGCATGCATGTAAATGTTGACCATACCATCTTGTAGGAGTCCTTTATGTCTTTCTATGTTCTAAATCCCATCATGTTTGGTTGGAAACCAAGGGAATAATAGTCATTTAAAGTTTCAGCCAATCAGATTGCAGCGCACGTGCATGCACGTGATTTCACGAAAATTTTTATATATCATATTGTAGGGTATCCTAATGTATGACTATGTTATAAATTTCAAAGCATTTCATCGAAAAACAAAAAAGATATTGAGGTTTTTGTTTCAGCCAATCAGAGCAAAGCGCACGTGCATGCGCGTGAGTTCATGCAAATTTGACCATGTCATCATATCTATACGTCTTATATATCCTTATATAATGAGTTTCAAAGCATTTCATCAAAAAATATAGAAGTTACATCCATATTAAATATATCAGTCAATTCACTCATTTCACGCGCACGCACGTGCATGCGTATGCGCGCAAAATGACCTTCGTTCCGCACACCTACACTACACACCTATTAACCCTAAAAAGGTTTTAGCTCAGTTGGGTGAACAGTTTCTGAGAACACTCGCGGACAAAAAAAGTACCGGAGAAGAAATAAGAAAAAAAATAATAACTAGTGCTAATTGTAACGGGAACCGTTACAGATGTTCCCCAAACGCTCCCCAACTCCCTTTTTGTGCCATATTACCCATATGCTTCTTTAAATAAGCCAAACTCTATGCATTTTAGACTTTAACAATGTTTTCCCAGAAGTATACGAAGTATATTCAAATTTTAGTATTGCACGCGTGTGCATGTGAATGCATGTGCGTAATGATCATATCATCTTGTCTACACAATCTATGTATTTAAATATACTAAATATTAAAGCATTTAATCCAAAAGTATCGAAAAATACGCTATTAAAGTGTATTGATAATTTTACTCGTTTCACGTGCAGGCACGTGCATGCATGTGCATGGTGACCATACCGTCTTGTAGAAGTTCTTTATGTCTATCTATGTTCTAAATCCGATGCTGTTTGGTTGAAAACCAAGGGAGTTATAGTCATTTAAAGTTTCAGCCAATCAGATTGCAGCGCACGTGCATGTGCGTGTTTTCATGAAAATTTTATATATCATATTGTAGTATATCCTAATGCATGTCTATGTTATAAATTTCAAAGCATTTCATCATAAAACAAAAAAGATATTAAGATTTCTGTTTCAGCCAATCAGAGCAAAGCGCACGTGCATGCGCGTGAGTTCGTGCTAATTTGACAGTGTCATATTATTAACACTATTAATATATCCTTAAATAATGAGTTTCAAAACATTTCATCAAAAAATATAAAAGTTACAACCATATTAAATATATCAGTCATTTTACTCATTGCACGCGCCCGCACGTGCATGCGTATGCGCGCAAAATGACCTTCGTTCCGCACATCTACACAACATGCCTACTAACCCTAAAAAGGTTTTAGCTCAGTTGGGTGAACAGTTTCTGAGAACACTCGCGGACAAAAAAAGTACCGGAGAAGAAATAAGAAAAAAAATAATAATAATAACTAGTGCTAATTGTAACGGGGACCGTTACAGATGTTCCCCAAACGCTCCCCAACTCCCTTTTATAGTCATATTCCCTGTAAGCGTAATTAAATAAGACAAACTCTATGCATTTGAGACTTTAACAACGATTACCTAAAAGTGTACCATGTTCATTCAAATTTTATCATTGCACACGTGCGAATGCGTAATGACCATGTCATATTGTCTACACAATCTATATATTTTAATATGCTAAATATTAATGTATTTAATCCAAAAGTATAAAAAAAACAAAAAAAACGCTCATTCAAGTGTATTTTTTATTTTACCCATTTCACGTGCACGCAGACATGAGCATGGTGACCATACCTTCTTGTAGAAGTCAATTACATCTATCTATGTTCTAAATCTCACCCCGTTTGGTTGAAAACCAAGGGAGTTATAGCTGTTCAAAGTTTCAGCCAATCAGATTGCAGCCCACGTTTACGCACATGTATGCATGTGCATGGTGACCATGCCTTCTTGTAGAAGTTCATTATATATATCTATGCTCCAAATCCCATCCTGTTTGGTTGAAAACCAAGGGAGTTATAGCTGTTTAAAGTTTCAGCCAATCAGATTGCAGTGCACGTACACGCACGTGTATGCATGTGCATGGTGACCATACCTTCTTGTAGAAGTCTATTATATATATCTATGTTCCAAATCCCATCCTGTTTGGTTGAAAACCAAGGGAGTTATAGCTATGCAAATTTTCAGCCAATCAGATTGCAGTGCACGTGCATACACGTGCTTTCATGATAATTGCTATATGTCATGTTGTAGGATATTGTAATGCATGGCTATGTTCAAAATTTCAAAGGATTTCGTCAAAAAACAAGAAAGATATCGAGACTTTAGTTTCAGCCAATCAGAGCAAAGCGCACGTGCATGCGCGTGAGATCTTGCTATTTTGACCATATCATATTGTCACTGCCACTAATATATCCTTATATTATGAGTTTCAAAGAATTTCATCAAAAATGCAAAAAGTTATGCCTGTATCAATTAAATCGGTCTTTTAACGTGTTGCACGTGCGCGCTCTTGCAAGCACGTGCGCGCAAAATGACCTTTGTTCGGCAAATCTACATAACATGTCTACTGACCCTAAAAACATTTTACCTTAGTCAGATGTGTAGTTTACAAGATCACTCGTGGACAAAATTTTCCCAGGAAGAAGAAAAATAATAATAATAATAAGAAACAGAGTAAAAACAATATGTTCCCCAACTTCGTTTGGGGAACATAATAATAATAATAAGAAACAGAGTAAAAACAATATGTTCCCCAACTTCGTTTGGGGAACATAATAACTAGTGCTAATTGTAACGGGGACCGTTACAGATGTTCCCCAAACGCTCCCCAACTCACTTTTGGTGCCATATTCCCTGTAAGCTTCATTAAATAAGACAAACTCTATGCATTTGAGACTTTAACAACGTTTACCCAGAAGTGTATCAAGTTCATTCAAGTTTTAGCATTGCACGCGTGCGCATGTGAATGCATGTGCGTAATGGCCATATCATCTTGTCTACACAATCAATATATTTTAAAATACTAAATATTAAAGTATTTAATCCAAAAGTATTAGAAAATACGCTTAATCAAGTGTATTTTTGATTTTACTCATTTGAAGTGCACGCACGTGCATACATGAGCATGATGACCATACCTTCTTGTAGAAGTCCATTATATCTATCTATGTTCCAAATCCCATCCTGTTTGGTTGAAAACCAAGGGAGTTATAGCTATCTAAAGTTTAAGCCAATCAGATTGCAGCGCACGTGCATGCACGTGTTTTCATGATAATTGCTATTTATCATGTTGTAGGATTTCCTAATGCATGGCAGTGTTCAAAATTCCAAAGGATTTCGTCAAAAAACAAGTAAGATATTGAGACTTTAGTTTCAGCCAATCAGAGCAAAGCGCACGTACATGCGCGTGAGATCTTGCTATTTTGACCATGTCATGTTGTCTGTGCTACTAATATATCCTCATGTTATGAGTTTCAAAGCATTTCATCAAAAATGTAAAAAGTTACGCCTATATCAATTAAATCGGTCATTTCACGTGTTGCACGTGCACGCTCTTGCAAGCACGTGCGCGCAAAATGACCTTCGTTCCGCAAATCTACATAACATGCCTACTGACCCTAAAAAGGTTTTACCTAAGTCGGATGTGTAGTTTACAAGATCACTCCCGGACAAAAAAGTACCCAGGAAGAAGAAGAAGAAGAAAAATAATAATAATAAGAAACAGAGTAAAAACAATATGTTCCCCAACTTCGTTTGGGGAACATAATAAGAAACAGAGTAAAAACAATATGTTCCCAAACTCCGTTTGGGGAACATAACTAGTGCTAATTGTAACGGGGACCGTTACAGATGTTCCCCAAACGCTCCCCATCTCCCTTTTGGTGCCATATTCCCTGTAAGCTTCATTAAATAAGACAAACTTTATGCATTTGAGACTTTAACAACGTTTACCCAGAAGGGTACAAATTTCATTCAAATTTAGCACTGCACGCGTGCGCATGTGAATGCATGTGCGTAATGACCATATCATCTTTTCTACACAATCTGTATACTTTAATATACTAAATATTAAAGTATTTAATCCAAAAGTATTAAAGAATGTATTTTTGATTTTATTCATTTCACGTGCACGCACGTGCATACATGAGCATGGTGACATACCTTCCTGTAGAAGTCCATTACATCTATCTATGTTCTAAATCCCACTCCGTTTGGTTGAAAACCAAGGGAGTTATAGCTGATTAAAGTTTCAGCCAATCAGATTGCAGCGTACGTTCACGCATGTGTATTGATGTGCATAGTGATCATACCTTCTTGTAGAAGTCCATTATATCTATCTATGTTCCAAATCTCATCCTGTTTAATTGAAAACTAAGGGAGTTATAGCTATTTAAAGTTTCGGCCAATCAGATTGCTGCGCACGTACACGCACGTGTATGGATGTGCATGGTGACCATACCTTCTTGTAGAAGTATATTATATCTATCTATGTTCCAAATCACATCCTGTTTGGTTGAAAACCAAGGGAGTTATAGCTATTTAAAGTTTCAGCCAATCAGATTGCAGCGCACGTGCATGCACGTGTTTTAATGATAATTTTTATATATCATTTTGTAAGATATCCTAATGCATGGCTATGTTCAAAATTTCAAAAGATTTCATCAAAAAACAAGAAAGATATTGAGACTTTAGTTTCAGCCAATCAGAGCGAAGCGCACGTGCATGCGCGTGAGATCTTTCTATTTTGACCATGTCTTATTGTCTATGCTACTAATATATCCTTATATTATGAGTTTCAAAGCATTTCATCAAAAATGTAAAAAGTTACGCCGATATCAACTAAATCGTCATTTTTCGTGTTGCACGTGCGCGCTCTTGCAAGCACGTGCGCGCAAAATGACCTTTGTTCGGCAAATCTACATAACATGTCTACTGACCCTAAAAACATTTTACCTTACTCGGATGTGTAGTTTACAAGATCACTCGAGGACAAAATTTTCCCAGGAATAATAATAATAATAAGAAACAGAGTAAAAACAATATGTTCCCCAACTTCGTTTGGGGAACATAATAATAAGAAACAGAGTAAAAACAATATGTTCCCAAACTCCGTTTGGGGAACATAAAAAGAGAAGATTTTAGCTCTTCTTTTTTCATTCTATAAATAAGTAAAGTTTTATTTCTTTTGTTTTCTAAATAAAGATTGAAAGATTCTTAACATTGATAGTGAAGGAAAATAACTCAAGGCTTTCGAAATTTGGTTGACTTTATTTACATAAACAAATAGGACAGCCCGCAGGCCCTATACCAATTCCTTTATCACATGGCGCTACGCACCGCAAGGGGGCGCAGGTCGGTCTCGGTGTGGCGGTCGGTCTGGGTGTTGTTGTAGAGGTGGGCGAAGTCGGAACTGAAACAAACATCGAAAAATAATCTTAAAGGGGCAATGACAGTTTGTTTTTTTGTTTTTTTTTTTTTTTTTTTTGATTTCATACATATTCATATATTATTTTTTGCTACATGTAATTATTATATCTTACATGTTCAACATTGCTAATTTTTATCAAATGAAGAAAATTCAAAACCGAAATAAAAGAGCAGAACCAAAACACAAATGAGCATATAAAGTGAAATGTAAACCAAAACAATTACATGTACAAAGATTATGGCCGGCTATACAAACACAGGGTTTCGATATAGTTGAAAAATCCCATTATTACCGAGTATTTTTCAGAAAAAAAAATAATTTAGAGTTGCTAAATTTTGATTTTAATATGATAATTTTGTCATCATTTTTCTATTGTCACTCGGTACACCTCGCCCGATTCGTACCTCATCTAATCTCAGTCTGATTAAGGCGACGGAATCATCCGAAGTTTGCCGAATGTTCTATTGTGTGTACCTATACTTACTGATACACTCCGGACAGCCGTTGATGTAGTGGACATATTGTATGTCAGGACAAGATATTGGTCGGCAGGTCTGAGTCGCTCCCGTCGCTTGTATAGGCAATAAAAATATGACTACGATTAAAATCTGAACGCTTTCTTTAAAGAAAAATGAGTTGCATCAGAGAGGAGAAAAAACCCAATTTGTTGTTCATCTAACTCACCTGTTGTTCGAACGGGTGTTGTTGAGGTAGGTGGCGCTTGAGTCGTGTGTACTGACAGAGGATTGACTGGATTTCCAGAAATCTGGTTCCCAGGACCAGACACCTGTCCGCCATTGTACCCGCTTGGTTGTGGACCAAAGACGCCATTGGCTCCAATGGGAATCCCTATGTTTGTTTGTCCGGGATTTGCTGGATTATAATTAGTTCCGGTTGAAGAACTTCCGAATCCGGAACTAAGATAGGGGTTACTGGGTCCTAAATTTCCGGGGTTATAGTTCACAGGCCTGGATAACCCGGATGAAGATGAGAAAGAATTCATGGAGTTCGGTGACAAAAAAGACGAACCACTTCCGCTATTCGAAGCTCCTCCGCCATTCAAAAAACTGTAAGATAGTGAGCCGCCATTGTTTGCCCCCGCTGGGTACCCCGATGGATTCTGATATCCAAGTATTGTAGCACAGGAACTGACGCAATGGGAACACCCTCCCAAAGTGACGAGGCACGTTTGGGGGCAGATGTTAGGAAGGACATTGCACTGTGACTGTCGTTTTATGTTGGCCGCTGAAATATATAAGGCCAAGACATAATCTTCTGACGTAATTACCTTCTTGTTGCATCCCTGTTGCATAAAATATACCGTAAATGTACTTACATGTATATACAGGTGTATAAATTAGCCAAACAAACAGTCTTCCTCATTAACTGATAAGCAGAATCATGAATTAGCAATATTTGAAGTCAAGCTTCCTTTTGTATAACTTTGTTGTAATCAAAACCAGTATATTTTTTGCAACTTTTTGTATTTGTATCATGAAACAACATCTGTTTCAATACTTTTTCATATTATAGTATAATTCTTTCCAATCTAAAAAATGAAAAAGCTTTTGAATGGGACGTAGATAACAATCAACCAATACATGTATGCTTTAGATTACGAAACCTTTCACTTAAATCAAGAAACTTTTTAATTGATCTGCTGCAATATTTAAATTAGTTCATTCATAACTTTAAAACAAAATACAATATAACTTTCTCAAAAATATTGTATCTATGAAAGAACTTTTAAACATATACAATTATACTTATCACTTAAAAATATATATTATAAAAATGAATCTACGTTACCATTAGCGAAAGTTACAGCAATAATCAAGTATAAAACGCCTACGATCTTCATTATATCTTAATATTCCGTCTTTTACACAGTTATTATTGAATGTAATGAGAGGTCTTCGGTTTAGGATGTTATTATCTCGCACCTGCCCCCATTGTCACACAAAGGCCTGCGCACCTTACGTCTTCAGTTGTCAATTACGCCATTTTATCGTAACTTACATATCTTATCACCCACCCACCCCCCACCCCCCAACCCACTTCCCTATAATCTATTGATTTTGTGAAATATCATTCTAAATTTCTGGGGAAAAAATACATTTCATTTGTGTGATGTATTAACATGTTTTATATCTTTTACTGATATGAACTTTTGATTTGAACATAAATAAGACAGACAGATAAGTAAATTTAAAAAAACTCTGATACCTTGCAATTTATCATAAAATTTAAAAACATGAATAAGATGTGTTTGTAAACACTATGCACCCGGCGTCAACAAAGTTCGAAAAAGCTATTTTTAGCATACTCTATAGGTCACAGTCACGGTCATTGACATTGGTGTCATTTGAGAGAACTTAATTAGTGAAGTGTGCATACCAAATATGAAATCTCTTTCACTATGGTTCAAAAGTTATGGCAAAAGTTTGAAAAAGATATTTAAGAATAAAGGTCACATTAAAGGACCTTGATATCATTTGAAAGAGATTAATTAGTAGAGTGAACCAAATATGAAGTCTCTATCTCTCACGGTTCAAAAATTAAGGCGAAGGTAGAATAGGACAACAGACAGACAGACAAACAGATAAACATCGATCACTGGTTGGAATTTAAGGTGGACCGGAGTCGATTCGCCGTCGAGTGGCCGGGTTTATTAATTTAATTGGTGGAGCCCACTCAGAAATGAGATAACCAATAAACTTTGAAACAATAAAGGCGTTGAAATTGATGATGGCTTTTTTTTCTGAGAGGTATCAACAAATTTTTATAATTCTTACGCAACAGTCATGTAGGAACAGTTCACGTATAGGATCAAACAAATAATTATTGAAGGGAGAAGACCACACGAATTAATAACTTGAATATTTAAACACAATTATGTGATGTACTCCTATTAATTTTTCACCAAAATAATTCAATCTCTTTATTTTCTGTGATGGATATTTCCTTGTTAATTTTCTATAGAAAATTAAAAACTTGAAAGTTTAAAATTATTTTTATTTTTGGAAATTTGAATTTTGAATATTTAAAGTAAAAATCTTAAAACTCAAAATGTTAAACCTGTTTGGAATATTGAAGTTTTAGATTTTTGAACTAAAATATTAAAATTCAATTTAAAATCATTTTTTTTGAAAGTATATTTGAGCTGTTAAAAAATTCTTGTTAAATTTTGCCGAGTTTTATATTTTAGTCATGATTATTTTCACTGACTTGCCAATTTAATTATCAGTAATTTAAATTCTCTATGTAAAAGAAAACAATAACACACAGTTATAAGAGTTTTATTATATAACTAAACGTTTGAATGTGCATGTAAATCTGTTTATCACACGAATGGAACCCTCAGATTATGTTCAAAATTAATCGATCCAAAAACAAGGGAGATAGGTGAACATCCCATAGCTTCAGATATTTAAAGAAATATTCGAAGAACTACGCACTCTAGATATCGATTAATTCCCGCCTACATTTTACAACTATAAAATTCAATATTGATAACAATTTGGCCATAAGATCTTTGTTTTATACAAAGAACAGTTCAATAGTAATTGATTGATTGTTTTTATTATTATCATTTATTTGAAATATCAAGATATCAGATTTGTATATATCATTTGGATAAAAAAATTGTTTTTAATTTATTTTCTCTCCCATTCTCACTCTCCCCACTCTCTCTCCCTCTCTCTCCACTCCCTCTCTCTCCACTCCCTCTCTCTCCCCACTCTCTCCACTCCCTCTCTCTCCCCACTCTCACTCCCTCTTCTCTCTCACTCTCTCCCACTCCCTCTCTCTCCACTCCCTCTCTCCCCACTCTCACTCCCTCTCTCTCTCACTCCCTCTCTCTCTCCACTTCCTCTCTCCCCACTCTCACTCCTCTCTCACACCCTCTCACTCTCCTCCCCGCTTTCACTCTCCTTCTCCTCACTCTCACAACTCTCTCCCCACTCTCACTCCCTTTCTCTCTCCCCACTCTCACTCCCTCTCTCTCTTTCCCCACTCTTACTCCATCATTCCCCACTCTGACTGGGGAGAGTTGGAAAAGATAGAATAAGAATGGGGAGAGAGAGTGGGAGTGGGGAGAGAGAGTGGGTGTGGGGAGAGAGAGGATCTATTCTCACCCCATTCTCGCCCTATCTCTGTCAAAGACTGCGAGAGAGATAGTAGGAGGCTAATTGTGATTAGGAGAGAGGAAGGAGAGTAGGCAGAAGGTGTTTAGATGGAATGGGAGGTATTAACCTCCCACTCTCACCCTCTTTTCTCTCCCTCACTATATCTCTCCGTCTCATTCCTCCTCCCCTCCCGTTGTGTCTTTCTCTCTGTCTCCCCACATTCTCACTCTCTCTTTCTTTTTTTTTTGATTTTGTCTTCCTGACTCAGTTTCTTCTGACTTGTGTAAAATAAACTATTTATATGCATTATACATCGATTTTTCGTAATTGTTTACAATTAAAAATGATGGAAATAATTCTAATTCCACAATAATGAGAACATTCTTTCGTTGTTGTAAAATAAATTATAAAATGTCTATTCTCGATCTTTTTATTTTATGTAAATTTATCAGAATTGACCATTTCTGTAAAAATAATTATGTCATTTAATTTTACAAGGGCGATAACTTAAGACAAAAATTTATAGAGACGGCCTACCAAAATATTTTTCATTTCACTTAATAAACATGTTATTTCGGGATTGACATTCACTATCTTTATCCCTTGTTTGCAATCAGTTTATTTGAATTCTATATTTTACATATTTTTTTCTGCTCATGCAGACATTGTGAGGTTGCGTTGATACTAGCCAAAATGCACTTGCATCTTGACTTTATTGTTCTATTTGTTCTCTGTTGTTCTATTTTATCTTTTTGCTTTGAATTGAATTGTTCATTTGATATTTTATTCAAATATGTACTGTTTGTAAAACTACAAATAATCTTTATTTGTTACATGGTTCTACTCTTCTGACCATAGGTTTTAACTTTACAGTTTTTGAGAGGTTAACCGTTAGGCCTTCAGCGTATGAGTGAATGCTCACCTATTATTACGGGTCCTGGCCATGCATGCCTCTGGGAAAATACAAATCATTCAATGTAGCAGTAGAATATACATTAAAAAAGGAATTCGACAAAATTTCTTGAAAAAAAAACCTGACCTTAGGAACCGGGAGGGGTCCGGGTGAGGGGCGAGACCCTCCCCCTCCCCAATTATTTCCCGCCCTCCCCAATTATTTCCCGATGTATAGAATACTATAGAAATTAAGCTACTTTATGCCTGTGTCCCCTCAAAAAATACGTTTGATAACCTTTTTTTTTTGCTTGTCAAGGAATTTTTCGTAGTTAATAGTAACGGTACCTGAACTGAAAACCCCCTCTCCTTTCCCCCAAACTGAAATTGCATTTTACGGGCCTAAAAAATATTGTGACTAATTTTTCGGCGTGCTTACCCATGCCCCATATATATAGCCAGGGTTTTTATAGAAATAAACACTTTGATGAATTCCATGCAAAGGAGAATTAAGGCTGTGACAGCGAGATATGCGGGGAGACATTGAAGACAATGAAAACTTCCGATTTTCACTTTTGGAGGGTATCATCATATCAATTGCAATAACTCCCGAATTATAAGACAAAATCAAATGGGATTAAGGTTACATTTTCTTTAAAGATGATTTTATAAGTTCACTTGGATAGGATTACTTTAAAAAAGGAAAGGAAAAATAAATTAAATTCAATTCAAAAGTTTACCCTGCGTTTCTTTTTCCCTTCAGTACATAAGTTATAAAATTTCAGTCAAGATACTAGGTGTATTCGATCTATCTGTATATACACTGGATCCCTAACCTTCTGCATCTGAAATCTGTGTCCTCATCAAAAATCACATCTTCGACGTTCTCCCTCCAATATTTCTTATTTAAATAAAGTAAGGGAAAAAAATAAATTTTAAAAAGACACTTTAAAATTGTGCCTAAGAAAAAGTTTCAAATTGCTGTGCATAATATTTTGTTGACCTCCCTGCACTGACAAAGTGTGATTTTTCTAGCATTGAAAATTTAATAAGCAAGAAAATTATTAGAAAGTCTGTTATTATATATATGAACGAAATGAGCAAAGTTTAATACTTGTTGATTCATCCAAAATTCTCCCAGACCCAACCTAAACAATTCAAGTTTTACGTCACGCGCCCACTTTATAATTCTGATTGTTCCCGACCGATTCTCTGCATCATGTTGCAGGTGTTCGTATGAAGATTTTGAAATGCAGTTTTCTGTTTTTAATAGTTTACACCAGAACTGCATGATTTTTAGTTTTTCCTTGTATAATAAGTGGATATAGCCCCAGTTCTCTATAAATCATATAAGTGCATGCATTGCGCCAAACACCAAGAGTGATTTTACAAAAGGATAAATGCAGTCTTTCAATTTCTGGAGATATATGAAAGCCCCAGATTTCACTACCATACGATAAAACGCCGCCAACATATGTATCAAAGAGCTGACAGCGGTGTTACAAAGCCAAATGTAATAACATTTTTAGCGAATGTCATTATGTGACATTTAAAAGTTTAAATCTAAAGTTTAAACTTTTCTATAATTTATAAATACATGAATTTTTAATTCATGGGTTAAAATTGAAAAATAGCTTAAACTCGTGATTCTATATTAATGACAATTGAAATATGCTTTAAACTGTCAACATGTAATATTACTCAATTTTGCACAGTTTCTTGCCATGTCTAGTTTAATTTAGGAAAAATGTTTTGTTGGTTTGATGGTGACATCTTGTGACTTGTGAATATTTAGATTTTAGATTTCTAGGTAACAAAGTTATTTCTCACTTTCTTTGTATGAAATTAGCATGTTTTTAAAGATCAAATTGTCATAGCAAGCCAATGAGTAAATAAGTAAATTCTTATTTCGGCATCGTTAGAAATAAAATTCTGTATACACTTAACTTGACACTACGAAATT